GATATTCCTGTCTGACACCACTGGGTGGGAGCATCCCTCAGGGTTCAATTTATCCCCGTGCCATTTTACGTACGCATGAAACCGCTGGGAGAGATTGTCCAGAATCTGGAGGTCTGGTGTCACCAATATGCTGGTGACACCCAATTCTCTCACCTATTCCATCTAAATCAGGTTCTAAATTGGTATCTGATGTCAGGAATGGACTGGATGAGGGCAGACAAATAAAAGCTTGATCCAGACATGCCTTTGGTGGATGGCGTAACATTCTCCTTGAACAGTCAGGCTTACAGTTTGGGCATACACTGGACTCAGTTCTGACTGGTTGCCCAGGTCTTGCTGGTGGTCAGAAGCTGTTGTTCTTTTAAACATGTTTATTATTAAAAAGTGCATTTGCACAGCTGAGGCCAGCGCACCAACTGGCCTGTCCCTAGAAGCATCTGTGTACAGATACAGAAAGATTAGTTACATCCCATTAGGATTACTGAAACATACTCTGCTTTGGGCTGCCCTTGAAACAGTTCAGACTGCTGCAACCAGACAGTTGATTTGGGGGGAGGGGGGACGTTAAAAAGAAGAATGCAACTCCCATTCCCTTGTTATAACTTCACTGGCTCCTAGTCTGCCTAGCTGACTTGTGCACCTGCTCAGCCTACTGTCCAAGTATTAATTGTAATGACAACCCACTGTTTCTGAACCGGATTTTAAGTAAACTAATCTTGTGGCCAGCTATTGCCACAATCTTCATTGATGTCCTCTACTAGTTTCTAGCACAGTCCTCTGAAGGAAGCCACCCAAGTGGGCAGGATTGTGACTTCTTTGCCTTCTTGCTGATTGAGGGCTACATCTCCATTGTTACAGATGCTGAGACAAAGAAGTAGCTCCCCAGTGACCTCCTGCTCACCAACTGCTTGGGAGAGCTCTAGAAGATGGTGAGAATAGGTGGGCAGTGCCAGGGCTTCGATGAATGTAGGGTTCTGGCACAGATTGCTGAATCTCTGGCTGATGCAGACATATCTGCTTACTGTATCAGCACTATCAATTTTGACCATCCCTTGGTTCTAGAGGAAGGCACTGATAATGTCACAAAAGTGCTCCAGAAATGTCAAGAGAGTGGAAGATAGCTACTGGGTCTTGCACATCTCCGGTGCCTATTCAGAGAGGTGAGTGAACAGCTCCTGTCCCAGCAATGCCAAACATGGTCTTCCCTGGAACGAGGAGGAGAACACTCTGCAACTTGCTCTGTGTGAACAGTGCTGTCTTTCAGTGTGTAGAGCAAACTGCGTCATCTGCAGCTGGAGGGAGCTGATCTTGACTCCCAGAAGAGAAGCTCTGAGTCTAGGTAAATCCTCAAATCTGCTGAATAGGAAGCAACAGCTTAAGGCAGAATCTAACATTACTAAATCCAGGATGGCTTCAAGGGAGATTCTTCTTCTTTTTCTCCTTGCCATTTCCAGAAGTTTCCCAACTAGAAGTCAAGTTTGGGACACTTACTTTGTTTTTTATGAATGACCTCTTCAGGGGAAGCTGAAGACTTGCACACAGTTCCCATATTCTAGTATTCTTCTTCTTAAAATGCATAAAGCTAAGAATAAGAAAAACTGGAACCGTTTGTCATAGAGATAATTGGATAAGGAAGTGATATCTAACTCTGGTGAAGGCGAATTGTATAGATAACAAATATTCCCATTTATGTTGGAGATATGATCATGAAGTGGGTACATATTTGCATATTTGGTGTGAATATGAATATATAATAAAATTTTGGAAAGAGGTTTTTTAAAGAGTGTAGTAAAATACTAAATCTAAATATAGATATATGCCCCAGAATTGCATTATTTTCAGTATTTGATAAAAATGGAGCTAGAATAATGAAGAATTAATAATACATTTAATAACTGCAGCAAGATTAATTATAGCCAAGAAATGGAAAGTAAAATATAATTGGTATAGGGATGTTTGGAAGATAGCTATTAACACCAAATTAACATGTGAGATTAAAATGAGAAAAGGGCATATAAAGTAAAATATATTTAATTATATTTGGGGCATAGTCATTCAGTACATATTAAAAAGAGGGGAAAGTATTCAAGCCGACAAAAGAATCATTACAGCTTTGAAAGGGGAAAATGCTCTGAAATGTTTGAATAAGGTTTAAAAAAAAACATTGTATCATTGGTCCTGGTGGGGGGGTACTGTATTATAAGAATAACTATAATTGTATGTTTATATGTTGTTGTTTTTAAATGTAGGGGGTTAGGGTTGTATTTTTAGGGTAGATGCTCTTTCCTTCAAGAAACCATGCCAGGCATACATCTTTTAGCTGGTTTCTAGCCTTGAAAGTTCTGCAGTAATTTCCCTTTTTCCCCACAAAATTAGAACAGGGGTTTTTATGCAGAAACCCACCTCTCTTGACATAGCCAAGGCAGAAAATAGGAAGTTGCAACTTATCCACTTTCATTTAAGAGAAAAGGAAACTGAGAACAGTAGTGGTTTACTTGAAAATAGAAATAGGAGTACAGAGACACAGGAGGTAAGGGGCATGTCTGTTGGAGAGGGAAGGAGTCATGGGGGAAAATCGGGGAATTGTCATGGCTATCAGCACTCCTCATGGGTTTCTGGTTCTGACTTCCCGGCTCTGTTCTAAGCTTAGAAACACTATTTCAAAGTTAATCAATTTCTATGCAGTGAGAGTTCCTTAATAAAGCCCCTATGTATGTATATCTATATTGTTCATAGTCTTAAATTTTGTCCATAAATATTGCTCTGTTTTCTTCCCAAAAGATGGAAATGGGTGCGCCTCAGCACTGATGTATAGCCTGTATTATGGATAAGAAGTTATTGTTAGGGCAGAATGTGCCAAACAGGGGTGTATTTTCTTTTCCTATCTGTTCAATTCGTATGCTGAGCATATAGCAAGGAAAGCAGGATCAGGATCAGAGAGAAGTGACAATCGGCAGAAAATATATCAATAATTTAAGATATGCAGATGATACCATATTACTGGAAGAAAGAAGCAATGAATTGAAACAATTCCTGCTAAAAGTGAATGAAGAGAGTGCAAAAGCAGGACTGCAATGGAACAGTAAGAAAACAAATCACGAATGAAACAGCATTACACAACTTTTCTGTTACCAGTGAAGACACTGGAGCAGTGTCAGTGCAGCAGACAATAATGCTAGGGAAGGTCAAAAAGGAAGACTAAGTATGAGATGGCATGATTCCATGAAGGAAGCCACAGCCTCAAGTGCACAAGAGCTGAGCAGGGCTATCAAAGTCGGGACATTTTGGAGGGCATTCACAGGGCTGCCATCCATCAGAGATGATTTGATGGCAGATGACAACAAATAAGGCAACACTTCTAAGCTCAAGGTGTACTTGCAAACAATTATGCTGTCATCAATAAAGCCTTAGCATCTACTTTATCATTATTGCGTACTGTGAATGTCTCTTCTCAGTTTACTATGCAGACTACTGCATCTACTATGCAGTAGACTGCCTTGCAATTTATTAATCATTGTAAAATTTACACATAGAGCAGAGCACTTATGCATGTTTACTCAGGTGTTCCATTGACTTTAGCAAGGCTTATACCTAGGTGAGTACAGCTTTCATCACCCACATAAAACTTTAAAGATGTTTCACATCTTTGTAGATATTAAAGAGTGGCTGCAACTAAGATACATTCAGCATTTATTGTCTGAAATGTCTTTTGAAAGGATGGGTGTGTGTGTGTTCACCTTACTATGCATATTTATCAGTCAAGATTATTCATACATTCCCATCTCGGAGATTTAGGGTATAATTCTATGCGGGCTGAGGCAGAGTCCCCCACCCCCCACCCCAAGCTCCTAACATTCGCTAGCGAGCCATGCTGGTTGGAGCATGCTAGCCAAGGTAGGGCTTTTCTGTCCAAGTAAGCATTGGACTGATCCCAGAACAGCTAGAGAGGTGAAGAACGGCAACTCTAGCAATGCACACTAACAATAATTTGAAAAAGTGGCTTCCCATAATTGTCCAAGAGGCAAAATGCAGGCAAAGATTTACCAAGAGCAAATACCTGAAAATAAAAATAATAATCTCAGGTATACAGGGACAGGGCAGTGGGAGCGCATGTACATCTTTTTGCTTCCTTTTTCAACGCAGCTCCGTAATGTCGGCATAATTAGAATTTGTTTCACTTTCCTAGCAGGAGAAACGGAAGTCACGCTACAGCAGTCTCAGTGTGAAGGGGTGCTGGGGATTTCTATTTCACGTTAAGCAACCTGGAACAAGTGGGAGAACACACACCTAGCACTGCAATCCAGGGCACACTTACCTAAGTCCCATTAATTTCACTGATATTAACTTCTGAGTGTACGGATAGTACAGTCCGGTATCATAAATACCGTACAACGTGCTGGATTTGGGGACGGGGCTGGGAATAGTTGCTGCTACTTATTTATTTATTTAGAAAATTTCTATGCCGCCCCATTGGCCGAAGCCTCGGGGCGGCTCACAAATAAATTGGTGAGACTTCTTCTTGGTGAGACTGCGCTGAACCCTGAGCTGGATAAGATGGGAGCAAGGAGTAGCGAGCCTATTTTAGGGCGCTGGGGCTTACACACCTGGGGTGGATAGGACCGAAGGCAGAGCCACTCATATGCGGCCGACCAAGCACACGAGGTGCCTCGGAACCGCTATGAATTCGCTGCACGTAGATTCGTCCCTTTCCTTCCAGATCTGTGTTGCCTAAGCATCTTTTGCCACTCTGCCCTTCCTAAGATGGCAACATCAGAGAAACCATTTCCCAGCATGCCTTCCAAAGGCGGGGTTTAATAGACAGGCCTGATTGTCTCGATCTCTGCGGTTTAACAAGGCCCCCTTGGCGCAGCCATCTTCTACAGAGTCGGCACTCGAATTTGCCAGACTGAACTCGACGCGAAGTAACGCAGCATCAAGGCCAGGGATTAAGGCGGAGGCGGAAACGCACCACCAGAGCTGACATACCTACGGCGAGTTCCTTGCTGCCGCAGGGAAGGGGGGCTCCCAGTCAGGCATCTGGAGCAGGCATCCTGAACGGGTCGTGCCTGCGACTCCGGGATGGAAGGTCCCCTCGTGACGCTTAACGCCTCGGACCGGCAGAGAGCTTGCGGGAAGTTGCTGCGGGACTGGATGGGGGCTGTGGCCCGGCTGAGGAGCGGTGAAGGGACCCCGCCCGTGTGGGAAGCCCCCAGCCCCCAGCCCCCTTCCTCCTCCTCCGTAGCCAGCGGTGAGCCTGTTTGCCTGTCTCCTTTTCCTCTCCCTGCCTGTTAGCCCAGTCGGCTCAGGATGGCTGGGAGTCTTCCTTTCCATGCGCTTTCCAGTCTGCCCTGTGGACGACTTGGTGCTTCCCGGTCGCGTTTCCTTTTCTCTTTCTTCCTCGAGCCGACGGCCAGCTTCAATTGACTTATTTTCTCCTTGTTCTGCTTCTTTCTTTTTTTAGGGCCGAGCGTCCGGCTCTCGTAGGCCCCTTTCGCAAGAAAAGGGCATATCAAGCCGGCTTAGCGGTTGGCCAGACTGATAAAGCAAGATGTCTTCTGGTCTCAAGGCAGCGAGCTTCCCCGCCTGGAAGCGGCACATTCTGAACGAACTGAGGCGACGCGACAGGCTGCAGAGACAGGCTTTTGAAGAAATCATCTTGCAGTGTAAGTAACGCCTTTGTTGCTTTCTTGGAACTAACACAGGGAGCTTCTTACTCTGACTCAGACCACTGGTCTAGCTACCCCAGTATCATCAACACTGACTGGCCACTATTCACCAAAGTGTAAGTTCCAGTTTCAAGCAAGATGTGTTTTTAGCTCCTTAGGGAAATACTGAAAATTGAATCTGGGCCTTTCATTTTGCAAAGCATGTGCTCTGCCATTAAGCTATAGTGCTTCCTTGAAGTCTGGACCTTGCTAGTGCAGTTGTGTCAGCACTTTTATAATAGTTGGATTTAGGAATGTGTAATGTTGTAGACCCAGAGTGAGTAAGTTCTGGCTCCCAGATGTTTTGGCCTACAGTACATAGCAGCACTAATTAAAGAGTTGTGTGCTCACTGCAAATTCCTCACCTCTGCTCTCACCATTGCTTTGTTTTTCTTTGAGTGGTGTTTGCTGAGTTCTGAGATGTTCTCAATTTTCTGAGAGATACTCACCATTTCATATTGTAAAGGCTATTATAACAAAAACATGGTAATGTCCTCTCTTTGTTTTGCCTTTGACTGAAATTCTTGTCTGGTTAGATAATAAGCTCCTGGAGAAGTCAGAGTTTCATACAGTGCTGGCTGACAAGCTGCAAGTGGAAAAATATGATTTGCCCAGCCGGCCAGAGATCAGGTATTTGTGGAGTCTAATGTTGGTTACTGTGTTACTGTTCCATTCCTACTGGCAATATATGCAGACATGTTGGCTTTGTTATGTAATGGTTGTTAAAAATTACTACTAATAGCGTGCCACCCAATGCTTATTTTCTTGGAAGTAATTCTTTCCATTGGGTTTAGTCTCACATAAGTATGCTTATTATTGCATCCCATGCAATATAACTACTGCTTCTGAGCTAGTTCAATCCAGTGAGGCTGCCTGCAACCCTCTGAAGTTGGAGAACTATAGACATCCTATGAGATGTGGAAAGAGCACAGAAGCAAAGATATCCATGCTTCTCCTTCCCTACAAAAGATTAGGTGGCCAGTTTAGTTGGTCAAGTAAGAGAACAGAGGTTGAGGAGCTGCTACAATACTTCAATACTGTCTCCACCCCACCTCACCTCCTAAAACATTCACAAAACACTCTCCAAGATTGGAGCTGCAACTGGCACTTTTTCCCCACAGTAGCTGCAGGGGGGACCACACCCTTGCCCCAGAGTCCCAGTTCTCACATTGGAGCTAGTCTCCCAGTTTGTAGCTGGGACTACAGATTCTTTTATGGTTGTATAGACTCAGTCAAGCAGGCATCAAAGTGCTTTCTTAAAGTTTTAACATATGATTTTTAAAGGTCTACATAAGTAATAGAAAGTATGTGTGTAGTATGAAAGGGGAATGGATCTAGCTTGTTCTTCAAGCATTGATTTAGAGTTCTCCCACAGCTAAAATTGTCACCATAACGTATACATTTACATATGTACAGAACAGATTATATAGAAAATATTGTAACAAAGTGCTTTGCTTATGTGGTCAGAACACAGCATGAATGTATTTATTATTTTTAACAGTAAATTAAAAACAAATACTGATGAGAATTCCTTAACATCATCTAAAACAAATTTTAGTGGAAAATGGATGCATGATACTTTCATTATTCCTTTAGCAGCAGCTTGAAATGCTATTTTAATAAGAAACTCAACATTTTCCCTTCTCATCTTCTGAAATATTCCAGTCCTGGACATGATGGTGCAAGGAATGATGCCCACTTGCAAGAAATAGCCCAGCTAAGAATTAAACATCAGGAGGAACTGACAGAGCTGTACAAGAAACGTGGCGAGGTTTGGATCATGTGTTCTGTGTGTGTGTGTGTTTTTTTGCAGTGATGTAGTTCATAATTGTTATTTGTTTCTGTTTCCCATGGGATTCAGAAGCTTGACAGCTGATCTCACTATTTGTAGTAAATTTAGTGAGCAGCTTTGTTCATACTTTCATCCATGTCAAAATACTGCAGGTTGCAATGTCATTGCTACAAAGCAATACATGATAATTTTATTCAGATGTATTTCTTCCTCAAGGAAAAGTATCTGATTCTCAAATGTATAGCGTAAGTTTTCATGGTCTGGTTCATCATGTGTAAGAATTATTATGCAAAATTGTCAGGTACATGTCCATGGAGTGTAGAGGAGCAAAAGGAAAGCAGTGAGGTGAAAGGTGAATAGAAGTTGGAAAGCACAGACTGTATGAAGAGATCTCATTTCTTGCACTAACAGTTTTCCCCTTTCCATAGTTGGCCCAATCTGTGATTGACCTGAATAACCAAATTCAACAGAAGGACAAAGAGATGCAATTAAATAATGCAAAGTGAGTAGTATTTATTACTGAAGTAATATGATCTTGGTGCTGAATGTTTGTCAGAGTCTTGAATAGTTTCTCATTGTATTGAGCATTTCTCTTGAAGGATTGCAGAATATTTGCAAAAGATATCTGAACTGGAGACAGAGTGCCAGGATTTACGCAACAAACTACAAGATCTTGAACGAGCCAGCCAGACTCTTAAGGATGAGTATGATGCTCTGCAGATAACTTTTACTGCTCTTGAAGAAAAATTAAGGAAAACTACTGAAGATAATCAAGAGTTGGTAACACGTTGGATGGCAGAGAAGGCTCAAGAAGCCAATCGACTCAATGCAGAAAATGAGAAGGATTCAAGGTAAGAGAGTGGTAGCATGTTCCATGCAGACTGTTTTGAGAATGGCTGCGTAAGAGAACCCCCTCCCCAGAATTAATTCTTCTCTCTTTTTAACCTCTGTTCTGCCCTCAGCTTGATTCTGTCTTCTGTATGAATGTATCTGTATCTATGTTCAAATAAGATTTTGAAACTTCGTCAATGTGTCATATGCTGGCCTTTTCCAGTACTCCTGAGCACTTCTTAATGTTGGTGGGGGTCATTTTGAGATCCATGTTGATCTAAAGGTAAACAAGCAACCTGACTTAATACAGTATAGCATTCATCCTTTGAAATGATCCCAATTTCCCTTAAGAACATGTTTTTTAAATAATGTGGAATAAGTATAATGTGTAAACTGGTGTTCTGAGTGTATCGTTCATCTCAATTCCTGTGATACTAGTGTTGTCATGACCTGCCAAGTACATTCACAGGCCAGTTTCTATCCATGTGAGTAAACATTTCATTTACAGTATTTTGCAGAATTCCTCCCACTTTTCTATATTCTGCTGTGTTACAACTTAGAACTGAAATGGGCTTACTTGGCATTGTTACCCCTTGATGTATACAAGATTCTTAGCCCTGTAAAGATGCAAAAAAAAGTGCAGCATAAATTTAGATAAGCAAAAATAAACTGGTACTTGTTTGCATAAGCATTCGTCCTCTTTGCTGCGATAAGCTTAAATAAGTTTGGTACAACACACGGCCTCCAATGTGAATTGGAGTCCACCTTTGTGCACCTCCAGTGCCACATGGTTTCAGGTGAAATATACTTATATCTGGAAGGCTTCAAATTTTATTGGAAAGTGTGTCTAAAATACAAAAACCTATTCCAGGATAATTTTTTATTTATTTTTCGATTTATATCCTGCCTTTTTCCTACAAAGGGCTCAAGGTAGCGTACATTGTTCTCCTCCTCCATCTTATCCCCACAACAACAACCCTGTGAGGTAGGTTGGGCTGAGAGTCTGTGACTGGCCCAAAGTCACCCAGTTGGTTCCATGGCTGAGCGGGGACTAGAACCCAGATCCTTTGAGTCCCAGTCCCATGCTCTTAACCACTACACCACACTGGCTCTAATGTTGTGCAGAAGTATCAATTGGCATTGGGCTATTAACAATATCACAAACAGTCAATGTGCCTTGAAGCGGTATTAAATCCATTATTACAAAATGGAAATAATATTGTTCTACAGCAGCTCTGCCTAGGGAAGTATCCAGCAAAATTCAGTGACTAGATAAGGAGGGTCTTAATCAGAGGAGCAACCAAGAATCCAGTGGTAACTTTGTAGCGGGTGGAGAGATCCACAGCTGGAATAGGGAAAACTAGGGGAAGAAATCCATTTCTGAAACAAATTCATATCAAAGTCCATTTGGAGCTTACAAACTAGTCATGTGGGAGTCTCATTAAATCTGTAGAAAAAGATATTGGTTTAATGAGACCAAAGCTGAATTTGGTTTATTTTGGTGTATATGGTATTGTTTTGCCTTGATGTGAAACACCATATGTTACCCTGAGAATACCATCTACACAGTGAAGCGTGGTGGTTGCAGTATCATATTGTGAAGGTGCATTTCCTTGGCAAGGATGGGGAAACTGGTTAAGACTAAATCAGGACAATTCTAGAGGAAAAAAAACTGATCCGCTTTGCAAAGGACCTGGGACTGGAGGTTGACCTTCCAGCAGAACAATAACCTGAAGCACACAGCTAAAGTAACACTGGAGTGGTTTAAAACAAGAACCTGAATGTCTTTCAATGGCCCAGTCAAAGCCCAGGCATCAGTTCACTTGCTCCCCACTGAAGTGGTCCCCATTCAACTGCCAGAGCTAGAGCAGTTTTGCCAGAAAGAAGTGGCAAACATAGGATCCAGATGTGCAAAGCTGGTAGGGACTTACCTAAGAAGCTTTACAAGTGTAGTTGCTGCCAAGGGTACTTCTATCAACTATTGTCTCCGGGATGAATATTTATGCAACCAAGAAGTATCAGTTTGCTTTTGTTTATGCAGCATTTGTGCTACAATAAGAATATTTTGTAACTTTACAGCATTGACTGGCTAGTACACTTTAAGTGGTAACAATGCCCATAAGATCCATTTCAGTTCTGGGCTGTAACACAATAAACTGTGGAAAAATTACTGGGCTGAATACTTCCATAAGGTACTGCATCTATTAAACAGTCCTTATAAACATTCAGGTGGGCAAAGTGCTGTTAGAAATGACTTCTAACTTAGTCCTCCCCAAAATTACTCAAATACCCATTTTATCTAAGGAATTTGGTACCCTGCCTTTCAATTTAAGAATTCTTTGCTGGCTTACACTTAAACAATCTGGATAAACCATTCCATAAGCAGTAACATAACAGAGAGGAAAAGGCTTCTGTGGATTAAAGTTTCCTTACCTGGCCCTGAAAAGTCATGAGAACCAGCTATAGGTAAGCACTTTTTCATGGGCATTCTTAAGTCAAGAAGACCTTTGGGCCATTTGTCTCTGATGCCAGGGTTTTAACACTCTATATATTCTTTCAAAGAATGTCAGCAAATACTGAGAGTTGGCACAGGATTCCTACCATCTTTTTCTCTTGTAGGAGACGACAAGCCAGGCTTCAGAAAGAACTAGCAGAAGCTGCAAAGGAGCCACTGCCAGCTGAACCGTATGTATTTCTCCCTCCTGGCTACATGTTTCAATTCCAGGCAGAAACCATGAACCCATCAAAAGCAGTGCTTGCTTATTTGAATGCTAAATTTCCCCAAGAAACAATGACTCTAGCATTCTAAATTGTGCTGTCAAGTGGGTAAATCTTTCTTAATTGGATCAGTAACAAAACAAGTACACCATTCAAGTTAATATCTTAAGGCTGTAATTCTACAGCCAACAACAGATCAGCTGAGGGGCCTTTCAAATGTGATAAGTGTTTCACTGATGCATGGCACCTGTGCCCTTTGAAGAGTTCTTGGCATGCCTGTTGAAAGCTCCACTGGGATAGATACATTGCCAGTGATGCTCAGCCAGTGGGATGGGGGTGGGTATGAGCCTTAGATCTGAAGCACTCTCATACCTCTGACATGCCCTGCAAAGGGACCAAGGACTATACTGATATTACCTCTGCTGTGTTCTGTTACCTCATCTTGGAAATGGAAGTAGGAGGTATGACTTTTAGCAGGGTTCATCTGGGGAGGCAAAAGAGTTGGAGACATTAGCATGTGAACATTAAAGAATGGGATGGTGATTAGGGAAATGGGAACAACTGGTTTGTAACAGATGTTAATTTTATTCAGCGGGAGAGAAGATATTTCTTCCATAACATCTCTTACATTCTCCAGAGCAGACTTGGGCTGTTTGCATGGGGCTATAGCAGGTGGTGAGGATGGGGAATATCCTGTTGCACTTGTACAACATTTGAAACTGAGCCAGCATTACTGTCCATGAATCTTGTTTCCTTCCTTGGCAGAACAAAGGGAAAACATTGTCCACTGTACTAATTACCTTTGCCTCCCTATCTGGATTCTTAGGCCTTCAAAGATGTAGATGATATTCTGCTTTTCAGCCAATCCTTCCAGATTATCCTTGCATTTTGATTTTGGGAACTTAATGTAGAGAGAGGTGGATGTCTGGTAGGGCAAGCACACTGGCCGCCTTAACTTTCTTACGAAATTAAGGATCCTGCTTTCTCTAGAAACAAAATGTTGGTTCTGTCTTTCCTCATGGCAGCATTTTTAGTACATAATAAAGGATTGCTTTTTTAAGGTTCCAAATTACTTGTGAACATGTACTAATCAGTACTTCCACTGTGACACTTCTGTAGATTTAATTGCCTGAATGTTCTTCAGGCCACCTTTTTGCACGATTCAACTTCACTTTCATTTTTCTTGGAGCAGAAATCATACCTAATGAAATGCAATAAAGTATATGCAAGCTTCATTGTAATTGCAAGGGTAAAAGTCACCCAAAAAGAATGGAAACAATCTCTTAGAAGTAGTAATGCACTTTACCTGGCTGCTTAAGACAATTTATATTTAGACAAGTCAAACCAATTCTTTACTCCAAAAATCAGTAAGTGATTAAACAAAAAACACTGGCGTAGTCATTCCCATTCAGCTAACATTTTTTATCATCTTTTAGTGCTAGATTTACAAGGAAGCTGGGGAAATTCTTTGGTTAAAATAGTGCAGCATTTCTTTCCCCTTGGCTATACAGGGAAGCAAGCTTATAATTCTGTTAAGATGGTAGGGGAACTGCTATGCCAAAATGCCTGAACTTTCTTCACATCTCAAATGATTCAAAGGAAGGCATGACCTGTCCTCCCGCAGGGATGATGATATTGAAGTGCTGACAGATGAAACCTCTGATCCAGCTGAGGATACCTCTCCTGTGCGTCCCATCAGCCGTACAACCAGGTAAGAGTGGGGAAAAGAATAGAGAACTTTTTCCCCTTAAGGAATTCATGTAATATTTGAAGAAGCAGGTGCGGGATGGGCTTGCATCTACTTGAATGGCATAAAAGTTTGAGAATTTTCACTGTTGTGCTTCAGGAAAATATTCTTTTCCTGTGTGGATTTACTTAGGATTTTCTGGGTGATTAATGCCACAAAATTTAAACAACTCACTAGTTTCACCTCCTACATGACCTCTGTTGAAATGAGATCAGAGTTGAGCTGCTGCTTGCTCCTATTCAGTTGAAGGGGACTGGGGAACGAAGAAAGCCTGTGCATAAATTTGTGCTTGTCAAAATGTCCCTACCAGTTGGGTCCTTTGAGACATTTTGGGTGGGGGTTGTACCATTTTCAACAGAGAGCTGTTCCATAGTACCATTATACGTATCATGAGCAGGTCCTCCCTCCTCCTTTTCCTCTCCCACGGACTCAGATGAAATTTTAGATGCTCAGTCCTTGCATTAAAGCTTAACAGGTTGCAAAACAACACCAAACTGAAACTTTGCCTCCTTCCTTTCCTTTCAGAAAACTTTTTGATGCTGCCTGCCACTTACTTACTTATTTCATTTCTATATTGCCCCACAGCCAAAACTCTCTGCTTGAGGGCTAGATGGTGGGAAAGCTAGGCACTTTGTAATTGGTCTGCTCATTTTGGCTGTTATCTCTTGACAGGGTAAGGAATTGTCCCCCACCAGTTCTGAATTGTCTCCTTCCTTTTCCAAGGCTGGCTGGTTCTCATTCTCTGAGAATCTTTGCTGGGTCACCTTGAAAACTGCAAAGTCATTTGCTCCTTTGTCTCCTCCTCAGAATCAGATGAATCTGTTGGAGCAGATTGTAGTGTGCAGGCTATTGAGACCTTTGCAGTACTTTAAAAGAAGCATTTCAGAACTCCCATTTGCAACTTGCCATTAAGTTTTCCTAAGTAGTGAAGAGTGAGCGATACTTGCTCCTCTTTCTGCAATTCCTTTCTGTAAAGGCAGGGCTTGTTCCTAGAATTTGAATGAATGTAGTAAGGCTTATGCAGCCAGTACAAGGAGCTGCAATGCTCCCAAATCTTTTGGGATGCTTCCTGTTCAGAAAAGCCATGATGTGCTGCTGCACACTGTTCTCTTGACTGGAAGGATCACTGTGCAGTCATCCTGGTTGCCCCTTACAGTTTCCAAGGGCTGAGATTATTCTATCACTCCCAGTGTCTATGTGGCAGAGCCTTACAATGCAGAGCCAAAGTGTAGCAGTAATAAGAGAGTGAAACACCTTTCAAAAACTTGAAAGGCTGGATCTGTAAAGTTCAGAAGACTGCAAATGCCACTAAAGTTAACCTTGAAAATGGCATATGAAGCTGCTTCCTACTAAGGCAGTCCATTGACCTCTCTGACATGGTACTTGCTCTGACTTGCCCCAGCTCTCCAGATTCTAGGCAGGCTTCTTTCCCAGTCCTATTGGGGATTGATCCTACATGCAAAACATGTACTCCACTACTGGGTTATGACTGCTCCCCTTTAAAATGATTCAGAAGCAAAATGGTCTACCTTCCTTAGCAAAGGTTCTTGTGAAGTCCCTCTCTTTCATTTTCCTGTTTGGCTGTGGGAACTTCTGAATATAGGGTCCCCAGCCTTCATGTGTAAATAATAATCTGAGAATCTTGCGTAAACTTAAAACTTGGTCTTGCCTTTTGTTTTATTCTCAAACTTTAAGCTTCTCCTCAAGCCTGTCAAGGAGTCTCTTCCTTCCCACTTGCAAGCCTATACGAATTATGTTCAGTTCATAATGACGATTTTTATTTCTTCAACTCCGAGATGGTGGCTTTTAAGGCTGTCCTGTTCTGGTTGACTATCCTTAGTGAATGTGGGTCCTGAGGATGAGAAATCCTCTCCTTGTTGCATGTTGTGGGCTATGTATGGTTTTTTATCTCTACTTGTACAATAAGGTTTAAATCTGTCCTCCCCTCCTCTTTAGTAAGCGACACTCCCAGCCAGCTGGAGGCCTTCTGGACTCTATCACTAATATCTTTGGGTAGGTTAGAAGATATTCACCTCTTTTGTTACATATTGGTTCAATATCCGCCATTTCAATGATTCAAGGAACGCAAACAGTTGTCCTTACGTCAGCCTTTTTTCTAGCTTCTGCTTCTTCTTTTCTTTTTGTTTTCTACTTCCTGTTCCTTAATTCTGCTGTGTGCTGACCTCTGATCTTTCCCTCCAGTCTGTCTGAGTCTCCCCTTTTGGGACATCACTCTTCTGATACTGCCAGGTGAAAATGCGCTTGAAATTATTCACACTTAATCGAGCATGTGAGTGAGGGATGTTTAAGTAACTGCGTTGTTTGATGTTGTATCTGTAGCAGTGAAAAAACTTCCCTGTTAAATGATGGCCTTGATCACGTAGAAGAATACTAGGATAGGGCCAGAGAGTAGAACTGCTGAGTCCAGTGTCATATCAATGACTATGCTGTGACCAGTCATTCTTGTTTTTTCCACATTAAGCAGAAGAGCCATGTCTAGTAGCAGTAATGCAACACAATGTGAGGTTTTTTTTTTATTAGTCACTACTACTGCATAGTGTTGCAGCTAAGAGGAATTTTCTTTGGGGGAAAAAGCAATATTAAGAGACATAATTTTAATTCAGGACTTCACACAAACTGCTATAATGTTGGTAAATTCACCCCACCCTTCCAGTTTCAGAGGCTATAACATCCAGTGAAGTCCAACTATGCAAAACCATTTCTTTGGGTGTAGCCACCCTGCTACTGTAATACACAAATTGGCCCTAGGTCTCGTTGCCCATTTCATCCCATTTTTACCCTATTGTGTAGTCGGGATCATTCCCCTGTCTCTAATTTGAGGATACACTGACTTCCTACTTGTGCTTAACTATGTATTTGCTATGCCCTTCCTCAGGAGGCGCTCTTTGTCTTCATGTTCTACTCCTCAAGATAATGCAGATGTACCTCCAGGTACAGGCAAAGAGGTTCGTGTCCCTACCACTGCAGTGTGTACTTTTGTAAGTATGAGATACATTATCTTTAAAAGAAAAACTGATTGTGGAGTAGCTGATCATTAATAATCTAGACAAATGTCTTCCTGCTTACAGGTTTTTTGCTTTGTGTGCTTATGTAACCGTAATTGTTTGAGTTTATGCAGGTTTATTTCACATGTGGGCAGCCACATGTTTGCTTGCAGTGGTGAGTGTGTCACTACACCTTGGTGAGCATAACCAGCCCTCATCCTCCTTCCAACTTTGGAAAAGGAGGTGGAGAGCAGATTGTCCCTCATCTTGCACAGAGGCACAGCTTGGGCCCTGTGGAAAGGGGAGGGGTAGGGTCCTGCTGACCATCACTTTCTACAAGGAAGGCCAGCCCAAAATGTTGGGCTTCTGCTTACACCAACATGATACCTCATTAGTTAAGCGATGTCTTGCTGAGGTCAGTGATGAGAAGAGAAAAGTCTGATTGCACTAGTGAATTGCACACTCATTACTTTCACAGCTCCCAGCAGTTTCTTTCCTGCCACCCATCCACGCTCCAGTAATGCTGTGAGGTACTATGAGGCTGCTGATATCATTGTGGATTAAGTTGGTCCACGCTCCTGTAGTATAAGGGGTCTGGTACTGACTGTCATCCAACAGCACCAGTGAAGGAGCTGTCAGTTCTGGGATGTGACTTAAAATGTGCATGATCTTTAGTTTTCAAGCTGAGACCTCTTAACATTTATAGTGAATGAAAAAGTACTTCATTCAGTTTCAAAATCCTTTTTTGGCATTTGTTGTTTTTGATGGTGATAATGATGATTTATACATTTTAAAAGCATCTGATTTGTTCATTATCTACAGATACTGAAAACTAATTCCGTCTGTTGCCACAAGTATACAATCTAACAGTCACAATAAAAAAGAGAAGAGAAAAGCAAGTACTGCAGAATCAGTTCTGTCTCTGGCCAGTCGATGGAGCCAGAGTAGTCTCAGTCCTAGCAATTGTTACTTGACAGAGAAGTATAAGTGAAGCTCCCCATAGCTGTCCCTTCTCTGTCCCACGCAATGGACAAGGCTGGTCATCCCATTGCAATCATGTGCTCAGTGAGAGAATGGGATGTAGTTCCCTTGGTTACATGGCCAGTGGCAGAATATGCTGCATTTGCGCTCCCTAGGGCAACAAGAGTCATTACAATAATTTGACTGAACACCTGGAACTAATTCTATTCATGGTGAGCACAAAGAAAATATTCTGTATATAAAAAGCATTCTGTAGCTTGGGCATCTTATCTAGCAAAATAGAGTACCTGCATCCTCAATAAACTTATCATAGAATAAGTAGATACAGTTCAGGGATTGAAAAATAAATCACTCCACCTTTAAATCTATTTGGTGTGACTTCTTGTAGTCAAAAACACTCCTGGGGTAAAAAGTTTATATATTTTCACTCTGGCATGCATAAGTGGGGTGCCAGCTTTAGGATTACAGGAACTGCTTTTTTTAATGCTAGAACCCCAAGATCTACCAACCATACCCAAGTGAAAAATACTTGCTTAGGGGCCAGACAGAATTTAAGAACAAGATACCTCTGCACTCAGCACAGAGGGGCTTTTTTTCAGGACCTGAATTGATCTCTCTGTCCTCCTTCTCTCCCTGCTTCCCCCATCCCCAACTTTTATTTCTGAGTTGGCCCTTATTTTTTGTAATCCCCTTCTAAAAATCTAGACTTTTACCATATGCAAGATCAGCTAAATCCAGTGCATCACGTTCACTTCCCTGTTTAAACAGATAATTTTAGTTTTGGGTGTCATATTGCAAACATTTGGTAACCTTGCACTAAACTGCTTGAATGGGAAAGTGAAAACACATACATCCATTTTCTACATCCCTTCCAGTTATATCTAATTTCAAACTTGCAGCCAGTTTGCAGAACCATCTATTTGCCCCACTTACTCAGAACTCTTTGGCAAAGCCATTGTTTCATTGATTTAACAAAACACTGGTTTTATCTTTGCTGTTGGGTAGCTAAAGTGATTGTTTTTGTCATAATTGGCATCAAGCCAGCATAGAATCATTGAAAACTGAGCTTTGAAAAATGGCCCTCATGGTATTACTATAGCTGTTGTGGACCTATTTCTTTTCCATCCCCCTAGGATGCTCATGATGGGGAAGTGAATGCGGTACAGTTCAGCCCTGGCTCTCAGTTACTGGCAACAGGAGGCTTGGACCGGAGGGTCAAACTCTGGGAAGTTTTGGGAGGTAAGACCCCCTAAAGGAATACATCAAAAGAAAGCAAATACGTGCCATTTTTTAAAAACCCATACAAGAGAAATAAGGTTCCTCCTAAGGCTCGACTCTTCAACAGATTGTCTAGTTCTGCCTCTGGAATCCAGAATGAAGAAGATTCGAGAGAACTGGTGAAGATTTTGTGCAGTGGCTAGAGTATTCAGTTTGGATGTAGAAAACCCAAATTCAACTCCTCCCTCTGCTGAGATGGTAAAATGCCTGCTCTAGAACTGTCCACTACTCAAGGGTGGATTCTTACCTCTGATGGTGCTGTACATACATTGGCACAAAGCCCAGCATTTCTAATTAAAAAGAGCATGAGCACCAGATCTGAGAAACTCCTCTCTCTGCCCATGTCTTTGGAGACACTCTAAGACTTTTCTAGTCAGAATAAACAGTTCTGATCCCGATGAACTGATGATTATAAGTCAGCTTTGTATAGTCAAGACTCAGATAATGACTTAACATTGTACATTACTGGTTACAAGAGATCAGTTCTGTGTTTTATTCTGCTGCGATGTTAGTCTTGACTGAATTGAAATAGATCATAAGTTCAGACTTTTTCCTGCTTCCCAACTCTTGTTTATCTTTGCATTGCAGACAAATGTTCACTTAAAGGCTCCTTATCTGGCAGTAATGCAGGGATAACAAGCATAGAATTTGATAGTGCTGTGAGTATGTGTACTTTTTGTAATCTGTCTCCATCCTACCATTCAATGCCATATTGAAAGAAGCACAAAATAAGTACAAATGTATGAGCCCTTGTAGTTTAGATTTTGTGGCTGCACAAGGTCTAAACTACAAGGAATGCATGCAAAGTTTTACTAAGGACATACAATGTCACTGAATATTTACTCTGAGGACCTTTGTATAAGTCGCTGCTGTATTTGCAATCCAGGGTGAACAGTGCTTTGTTGAGGTCAATGATGAACAGTAAAAGGTCTGATTTGCCCAGTGGTTGCTTCCTTTACCTTTGCAACTCCCAGCAGTTTCTCTTCCATTATACTCTAGAAATGCCATGAATGGGAGAGCATTTGCTGATAAGTAGTGATGCATTCAGCTTGTGTTGCTCTAAAGCACTGGGTAGACACAGCTGAAATTGTTATCCAACAAAAACAGTAAAGGAGTTTAAGGTACTGGACCCATGTCTCTGGTTATATGATCTTAAACGGTTAGCTGAGACCTCTTCTAGAGCAAAAGATCTCTCTGTCAAATTATTGGTAGTAGCAGAAGGAGCTGGAGAAAGGAGGTGTGGAAAGAATAGAAAGGAGCTGGAGAAAGAATAGGTGTGAGGAGAATAGAAAAGCAAGAAGGGGAAACGGATGAGAAACTGGGATGGAGAGAATGAAATGTGGGAAGCAGTGGCTTCAAACTTCCAGAAGAAAGCAAATAGGACCAGTACAGAAACTTACTGATACAGGCTTTTTCTTGGCAAAAAAGACTGGAAGAGAGGTTCAGGGCAAAGGCAGAGACTTATAATTAGGGAGACCAAGAAGAAGGGATATGATCTGCAGTGGACTGAAATGCAATTATGAAAAGGGGATAAGATAATTTCTTAGCTGTAGTAGAACATGCCGTTGACATTAGCTTTTAGCAGAAAATGTCCTTCAAGTGAGTTCAAAATTTTGTTTCTGCAGGGCTCTTATTTATTAGCAGCTTCCAATGACTTTGCCAGTAGGATCTGGACTGTGGATGACCATCGGTTACGGGTGACTATCTCTTTCTCAGAAGCATGATGTATAGGCCTATTTCTCACATGTTGTGGAAATATCAGTAGATGCTAGAAACTTGTTAGTGGGAATTTAGCCACAACTCTTTATCATGTAAAATTGAGTGGCCCATTATTCTCTTTATTATTTACAAAGAGCTCCTAAAAAATTCTGCCAGAAACTTACTTGAACCTCTAATGCAGACTGATTGATGGTACTTCTTAGAAATGGAGATGTTCATTAAAGCTATCTGGAATATACTGTGGAGGTTCTTCTTGAGTAACTGTACACTTAGAAAAGTTTGTTCAAATGCCTTTCAGTATTGAAACACTTCTGAAAGAATTTTGGATGAAGCAGGCTAATTATGTTTTGTGGGTTTTGAAGCTTTGTAAGCTGGAAGACATATTTTATAGTCATCTTTTATTCTCTAATTTTCTTCCTTTTTATCCTTGATCAGGGGTTGATCACATGCCAGCAGTCCCTGGTAACTCTCCCTTAATGGCCTCTGGCAGAGAGGGTTGTTCTGCCTGAGGCCATGGATAATTGTTGCTAGATGAAGTTGACGGTGTGCTAGATCAGGGTCCCCAAAGCAGCATCCATGAGGGCCTTTGGCAGTGCCCATAAAGCTCTCTACTCCCTACCCCCTTCCAAAAAACTTCAAATAAAAACCAGGAAAATGTTAGGGCAGTCTTCTCTTCTTCGTTTCTAGCCCTTACTTTGCTCTTTCTCCCCCTCTTCCTCTTTGCCTTGCTATTTCTCTTTTCCGCATCTCTTTGGCTTTCTGTTCTTCCATCAGCTAGTCTCCAGCTTTGCCCTTTTTCCTTCCCCTTTGTCTTACTGTTCCCCCCCCCCCCCATAGCTAGCCTTGTTCTTCGACTCCCCTCTACTCCTTTGCATTGCTATTTCCCCTCTGTCCCAGACACCTGACCATTTTACTGCCCCCATCAATTTAGCACACTTTTGACCAGCCAGGTGCCCATGGCAGCCATATGTGACTAGTCTTGCCCTCCATGGAAGTCATTTTGTGGAGATGTCCACAGCAGCTTCACATTTGTATCCATGGGCCAAAAAGTGTGATGCTAAAAGACAGCCTTGAAACAAATTTAATAAATAAAAGGGACACCTGGACTAGATGGATTAGCAGTCTGGCTCCGTGCAAGTTAACATATAATTATCTATTAAAGCTATATGAACTTGCAAATGACTATTAAAATTCTTGGTGGTTTGGACCGAGGGCCAAGTAGTCAGTCTTCAAAGATGGTTAGTCAGAAGGAAGCAAGACATAGTGATCAGCACCAATCCCTTTCATATTCCTGGAGTCATGTAATTGGAGGTATTGAATACTGGCATTAGATACTGAAATTGGCTGATATGCCTGCCATCCATGATTATCTACACACGCAACTAAAATATACAGAGGTGGCTTTCCACACAAATGCTAATGTCCGCAGCATTTTGCTCTGTCTTGCAAGGGCTGGCAAAACTAGTTCTCATCCTGGCCCTTTGTGCATAATTAGCAGGTTTGTTTTTTTTAACCTCAAGATGGACTGAAGCCTGGATTTCACTTTCAGAGTAGTGTTCTTGCTGGGTTACTGAATGACTGAAGGGAGCAACAACTGCAAAGCCCGTTTACTTACATAATGTTGATTTCTTTCTAGCACACACTCACAGGGCATAGTGGAAAAGTCTTGTCAGCCAAATTCCTATTGGGCAATGCGCGCATTGTGTCTGGCAGTCATGACAGAACCCTCAAGCAGTGGGACCTGCGCAGCAAAGTCTGTAAGGAAATGTTTTCACACAGTAACAGTTTCCTTTCTTTATGTCTCTTGGGTGTTGAAAAGACAAGAGCTAATATTGACTAAATTCATCGCAGTGCATTTAAAGTTGCAATTTATTATGCATTTATGTATATATTTATAGCACACAATAACCAAAGCTTTTGGGATGGTTCACAACCATCAAGATTCCTTAAGTTTCTGTTAGTCTACATCAACCCTTCCCAACCTGGTTTGTTCCAAGTATGTTGGACAACAACGCTAGCATCCCCCAGACAACATGGAGAGCACCATTAGGACAGGTGCTCTATAGAGAATGAAAGTGATTTGTTCCATGAGATTTCATATCCAACTGAAAATAGATATGAGTAACACTGCTAGTATGATATTTCACTGAAAGAACAAGGCATTTTGCTGATGCTCTAAGACTCATTTTTCAGTCATGGTTGGCGTCTTAAGTTTATTTACTTACTTTGCTATGTGTTCAGTGCAGTGTACCCTAGTCCACATATTAGTTCCTTCTATCAACTGCATGATTTGGCCCTTGCAGAAATCTGCAGTGTCATCTTTTAGCCATTAGCCATATCTCCTGTCATTGCACAGAAGCAATCGCTGTAAACATCAGTGTATAGCTGATCTAAACCTGTACTGAAATGTGGTATATATTACAACACAACCAGTGCACTTTGATGTGCAGCTTGGCATGTTTGCAGTCAGCTTTCATTGGCTGTGGTTTTAGCAACCTCAGCACAATGCAAGCTTGGGAAAAGATGCAGAAGTCTGATAATAGATGGACATTGTCTTCTACTTTCTAAAATAGCCCACCTAAGTTTCCTGCTGCTCTCTACAGATAAAGCAGCACTGCTTAATCCTGTAGCTTTGAAGAATCCCGGCAACACAGAAGAGACTTAGATTTTGTATCACACTGCAAGGATTTTACAACAGCTATTGAATTGTGAAGCAGTTGAACAAGGCAGCTATCCAGTGCCTTCATACAAGACATACATTTGTGGTTTACAAACTTTGCAAAGTTGTATTTTCTATGGCATTTTTGTTTGGTGCCTTTACAAATTGACTAGCACAAGGCAAGCTGATTACTTTAAATTTTTGTGATAGGACAAAATTCACCTTGTTTATTCCACTTGTGTGGAATTAATTTATATGGAAACTGAATGCATCACATACATGGGCCGGTGTTTTCACTAGTCAGAGAGACAATCTCATGAAATTTTATACAAAGCTACAGAGTTCCAGTGGTAGTGACGGTGTTTTTGTAATTTTGTTGAGAGAAGGATGTGGATGCAATTAGTTTATTGGTAATTTCATTTTTTAAAGGTATAAAGACAGTGTTTGCAGGCTCTAGCTGCAATGATCTGGTATGCACAGAACAATGTGTAATGAGCGGACACTTTGACAAGAAAATTCGCTTTTGGGATATTAGGTAAGAAAATAATGAAAAGCCATATGCTGGAGATTTGTGCAAAGGACCAGAAGGAATTGATGACTTATTTATTAGGATATGTAAACTCTTTCTTAAGTATCTTTTTTTGGCAGGTTGATTTCTCTAGGAATGGATGTCTAAGCATGGGTTAGAAATATTAGTGCATTCAGGCAGTGCCTTCCTGCCTATTCAGACATAACTGGTGTGCCAAACTGATGTGGGGAGAACCCCCAGTTCTTCATGTTGTGCTTTGAAACAGGTCTGCTAGAGATACTTATTTCAGGTAAAGTAAAACCAGCTGCTTAGGTTGGAACTGATGGCCATACTAGCAGTCAGGTATGCTCTGCTCTGTTCTCCAAACAGATAAGGACATTCTCACTGTTGAGCAGTTACAGTTTAAGGAACAGAGTAAGACAGTCCTCATCACTCTTCCCATATCCTTCTGCACAAAACTCTTCTAGACCAGGTTGGAGATCTGTTTTTTATGTCTGTTTTGTGGAAATAAAAATCTTCATATTTTCAGAAAAAACTATACTGAACACAAGTCTTCCCTGCTCCAAACTGAGCACCAGGTTTGTTTAATTTACAGGTTATTCAGCTTGTAATAATTGTCTTGATAACAGTTGGAATACTTGCTGGGTGCTAAAGAGGCAGAATAGAGATTTAGTAGATGCGACTACTAAAAGGAAAATGTAGAACATGATGTGCTATTATTAAATGGCACGTTGCTAATTATGAGACAAAATATGAGTATTTTGAAACTAGTGATAGTACCAGTATTCATATCGTCTTGGTTCTGAGGGCAAACTCATTCAGGTCATAATATTTGGTTGTGTTTTGAATCAATCATTTCCTACTTCTCTGACTGGAAAACAAGATTCTGTACACTCACAATCGGCATTCAGATTGATTATGTGTATGCATGCATTTAAGAAGAGTCCTGTTGAATCAAATCAAGCATTCATGTAGTATAGTATTTGGTTAACACAAAGGCCACAACAAAGTAGGGCATGAGTACAATTATGCTGAACTTGAATGAATTCTGGCCCTCTTTCATTGGCTGCCTGTATGGTTCAGAGCTGAATTCAGGGTGCTGGCTTTAACCTAACCTGGCTTGGGATTGCGATATCTTCAGAGCACCTTTCCCAACCATAACTTACCTGGACAGTAGGATCAACATGTGAGACATCCCTCCAAGTTGCCAACTCTGAAGTATGCTTAGAGGGGAATAATCAAGGGGAGACCCTTCCTGTTGCTGGTCTCCATAACTGTAGAATGATCTTACCAGTGAGGTCCACCTGGTGCCAACCTTGTCATCCTTTCAGCACCAGGATAAGATGTCCCTTTATGCTAACACATTTAGATACATCCTGTGATATTTAATGGCTTAAGGGGAAGTAACCATCCCGGGTTTTTTTTTTACATGTCTGCTTTATATCATATTGTTGTGACTATTTCTAAATTGATTTGATTTTATTTGATTGCATTTTGGAAATTCTTAATGGTGCTTTCTTGTATTGTCTGTTAACTGTTCTAAACTGTCCAGAGTGCTATAGCTAGCACTATAGGAATAGATAAATAAAGCAATGGCACTATGTTATTTAATGTTAGTCTGTTGCTCTCAATTATACACTCCTTGGTTGCTGTGATCTACATGATGAGATCACCCAGCAAGACACCAGCCTATTTGTAAGCCGCCCTGAGGCTTTGGCGAATGGGGCGGCATAAAAATGTTTTAATAAATAAATAAATATTTCATCTGTCAAGTCCTGGGCACTAGTCTGAACTTGGACAGAGAAGCCTAAAAGCACATTTTAAAGTTAAAGTTAACTTAAGTCTCCCAGTTACTTTAAGTTAGGGGTAGAGAGCTAGGAAGAGAATGTGCACATGAAAGCATGTTCCCTTAAGCTTGTTCATTTGGGTCAGGGAGTTTGGCCAGGCAAGCTTTCCTGCTTTCAAGGCTTGGGAGATTCCCTGAGCTGCATCCTACCTATACAAATTGCCTTCTGTACCGCACAGTTTCCTGGAACCATAAAACCTGGTCTTTGGGGACTCTACCATGGTTCTGCCAGAAATTGTTATTGCCAGTAGAAAATCTCATGAGATGAGGGAGAAATCTTGGGCAGTATCCAGTGGGGCTGTTGTGCTTCTTGTTTCTATGTGGCAAGTCAGCAGAGTTCCATTCTGCATGCTTCACTGATAATTCCCTGTTCTGGAAGCTATTGTGTTAGTTATTTTTAGAAGCATCCATGCCCTATTGAGAAAGCAGTGGATCCCACCAGCAGAATAGGATGCTACCCTCAAAAAACAGATGTATTTTTCCCTGAGAAGAATTCTCTGAGTACTTTTTAAATTACTGAGCTGATTGCAAATCAAGCTGAGAGTACTTTACCCATGACTGTTTTTAAAAAATCTCTCTACAAGTGCTAGTATTAGGAACATGTCTTTAAATGCTAGCTAAAAGGCTCAGAAACACAAATTCTGATCCAGATTTTAAGCACAGGATCCAATCAGACCTAAGTGAAACATGATACTCATGGTATGAATCATACTGTGAACTCATCATTGTAATGCTTCAAAGTGTTAGTGAAGCTGTAGCATTCTCATATGCCAGAGAACAATGAGTCAGGTACTCCTACATAAATGTTCATTCTTGTTATCTTCTGCTTTTAGGACTGAATGTGTAGTACGGGAAATGGAATTGCTTGGTAGGATTACAGCTCTAGATCTCAATCCAGAGAGAACAGAGCTGCTCAGTTGTTCTCGAGATGATCTGTTGAAGATTATTGATCTCAGAGTGAATACTGTCAAACAGACTTTCAGGTGAGCGTGAATCGACATGCTAAGAGAGCCTGTGTGGTATAGTGATTAGAGCGTTGGACTGGGGATTTGGGATAGCTGGGTTCTAGTCCCCACTCAGCCATGGAGTTCACTGGGTGACTCAGGGGCAGGTGTACCCCCTGTACACCCTACTTCACAAGGTTGTTCTTGCTATGAGGGTAAAATGGAGAGGGGGAGAACCCTGTAAGCCACCTTGCAAGAGGAAAGGGGGGGTATAAATGTAAACTGGTAATAATAATATAAATGTAAGGGTTGCTGTTGGCAAAGGTAACTGGATGTTCTGGTTTTCACAAACCTCTATTTTGACTGTCCACCTCATCCCAATGGAGCTGTTGATCCTAATCAAAGTCCTCAAGAGGGCCAGTTTCATGTACCTACAGTGAAAGGAGATGTTCTAGTATTTTAATTCTTCATCTTCAAATTTGTCAAAAGAAAATGACCAATGCTTTCCAGTCACCCTAGAATTACTATTTACAGGATGCAATTCTTATTAAACCAATACTATTTTTGTGTAATTTTTTCCTCCAGTGCCCAAGGGTTTAAATGTGGGTCTGATTGGACCAGAGTTGTATTCAGGTAAGAAGCTTAACAGAATGAACAGGTTACATGAAAAGAGACGCAGTGCTTTCCATGTACTGGCAAGGCTTTGAGCAGTCCTCATTAAAAGTAATATGTTCTCAACATTGGCTAAGTGTCCTATTGCCTGGAAAAGGTGTAGGAGGGGGAAGGACTTTGTGCTGTGAACTGTTGTTGTTGTTGTCTGCACAGGATATCTAGAGTGATCTGGCTGGTAGGATTCATATACTGAAACACGTGATCAGTGGGTACATGTTAACTGAAGTGGAAAAGTTCACTTTGTATCCCTTGTTCAGGGTTCTATGTTTGTCTAACATTCCAGATACAATAAGATTCCACTCCTACTGATCATCATGAACATCACCATCTTATTAGGGGTTCCTTTACATTTTTCTGGGGTGGGGGGAATTTGATCTGCAGAGATCCCAGATAATTTCCAGTGCTGAGAGGTATTCTACCATAACCAGAACACATTTTGTATACTGCTACAGACAAAAGAAAGCAGTTTGGCGCCTATTCTGCATGGTAGCTGAATGTGTTTTTCCCAGCAGGTTAGCCCCCAGCATTCCAGGGAGATGTCTATCTTCTTATGAGATTTAGTCCCTTAAGCAGGCAAATAGCTCTTCTACCGTTCTCATGTGCAGAATGGACTTTTGGAAACAGCACAAACTTTGTCAGATATATTTGTGAAATATATTTGCTCTTCAATAGCTAGTCTGGAAAGTAAAGAATGTTTGTAGCCTTGGTAGTTTGGCTTCCCCCACCCTTTTACCCCCTGAAGGTTGTGGTCAAACTGTTGCTACTCCTTTTTGCATTTGGATCTGATTCTTTCCAGGGTCGGCCTGAAAAGGGTGTTTATTTCATTGAATTAAACCTTATTACTTGAAGCTGGAAAAACTCAGCTCTAAATCCTATGCCTGTTCTGCACTTCCTGAGAAGCTTTGGGTGGGCTAATTTAGTGATTTTACCTTATAAGCAGTACTATAAATGAGTAATTGGAACTTGATATGTTGAGAAGGGTAAGAAATCTTAAAGTAAATGTTGTTTCCCTGCTCTTTCCCTACATCAAATCTGTGATTTTTCAGCCCTGATGGAAATTACATAGCTGCTGGCTCAGCAGATGGGTCACTCTATATTTGGAATGTGCTCACTGAAAAAGTGGAAAGAATACTCACTAAGCATCACAGGTAAGGCAAGATGATAGCATAAAATTGGTGGGGCTCTTGCATGGTATGGGGAGGTACGCTGTAAGGTGGCGTTATATACCCTCAGAGACTGGCTAAATGTTTCACTTGGTACACTGAGAAATTAATGATGTATGTCAGCCTTGAGCAGACTTCTGTGGCTTAAGTAAATAATACAGTCTTTAAATCTATCCCAACTGAGACTGAATAGCCTGGGTGGATTGATTTAAATTAACAAGAAATAAAATCAATATTAATCACATTTTCCATTGGAATATGTTATATATTTGCTGGATGATGTTGCAGACTTAACCATAAAACCATTATTAATTTACAGTTAAATGGAATATTGTTTATACAGTTGTCTTTCTTTCAAGCAGGCTTTCAGTATCTTTCTCTCACTGAAGATGTTTTGCATATTGTCCTTTTTAGCTATATATTTTGCATGCTGCCCCTTTTCATCATTCAAATACTTAATTATGACCATCAGTCTTGATCATTTGGCATTAACAGCCCAATCCTAGGCATGTTTACTCAGAGATAAATTCCACTGGCCTAATTTGCACTGCAGGCTTACCATGTGTTACTTAACTCAAGAAGGATGGTGCATTTTGAATATTCAACAATTAATGAGGTAGCGGTGTGTCATCCTGACCCGATCATCAAGTTATCTCAGGGTTAACAAGCTCTCATACAGTCCTTAGTTTGTTGCTTACTTATTCCATAACCCCTGTAGCTGGCTTCAGCTCCTATGACACAGTCCCACTGAAGGTTGCATATTCAAATAGCACTGCAGCTCATTGTGAGTTAAATAACTCAGGGTGAACCTGGCCTGTCATGTGAGCTGGGACATTGTGTTCAGCATGACTTACAGGCATCATGCTTATAGGATTGCAGGATAAGCAGAGGAGGGCAGGCAGATGCACTGTTGCCAGTTTCTTCCCATTGTTGCTCCTTTCTGCTTTAACTCAGCCTTGCTCTCATAAAAAGAGTAGGAAACAAAAATGAAGCATCTATGGCTGGTACATCAAAGTAAGGTCTGAGTGTTACTGGGCAGGCTGGAAGAGGTGGTTGTCATCAGAAGAAAATAAAATGCCTGTGTTCGGTGGAGGGAATGTAAATTTAAGAACAATCAGATTGGTAATTATTTTGTATAGAAACATAGCCTTTAACCAAATATCTGGTAAACAATATCAGATCTGAGATGAACTATATGGCTAACATGCTTATATCCATATTATATAATATTAACCTGATATTTAAGAGAAATGTATTATATTTTAAAATTAATTTAAATTTTTAAATATCTGATTTTTCTGACTCCTCAACATTCTGTTATCTACCATGTTGTATACTATTTTTCTGTCTTAACAAGCTTGGCCCAGCTCCACCATCACAAACACATAAAAATAACAGATTAGTCAGTCTTTATCTTCACATATGTGCCTTTAGTCAGAGGGACAGTAAAAAAAAAGCTCAGAATTTTCAAGCTGGTGGTTAGGCCAGGCAGTGCCATTTTCATGGGATGAAAAACTAAAATGAATACTCATATTTGACTGAAATGTCTCCTGATGTTTCTGATTCTGACAGATCCATTAATTCATTTTCACAGGAATATAGGTGCTTGTTTAGCATGCCCATGAGAACTGATTGCAGCCATATTATATTTAAATGAGAAACATCTAGCATTTAACAGAGGCTCATCCCCAGCCCTTCCAGAAATCTGATTTTATGCTTTGTTTCAGCAATTCCATCAATGCTGTGGCATGGTCACCATCTGGAGCTCATGTGGTCAGTGTGGATAAAGGAAATAAGGCTGTTCTGTGGTCTGAATTTTGACTTGAAAGTGCAAAAACCAGCATGCCAAAAATCTTCGTGGGACAGCAGTGGTCTACATCTGTCCGGACAGGATAGAAGTCCCTTGTCAGGCTCCATCCAACTGTCTTTTCTTAAGTGCATAAGCATGATTCTAGGAAAGAACTGCTGATGCATCAACCAAGGAAGAAAAGTCTGTCCTATCTAATGTATGTTGCTGGCATTTGTGAAGGATTGGCTGCACTGGGTGGAGGACCAGTCTTTCTTAAGATGTATTATCTGTGCCCTGGAAAGAGTTATTGCACCAGACAGCAGTGCCAAATAATTTTTACACAATCTCCTACAGTAGTTTGAGCTTTCCAAGTGATCTAGCAAGGTTCCTGTATATCACAAGTTTATGCCTGTCACCTATGTCTTCTTCTGTGGGCTAGCTAAGATGGGAGGTGAAGAATTGTTAAAACAAAGAAAGAATGAAATTGCAAAGGCCATAAATTTGATGGTAATGACAATGGAGCTTCTAGTATTTACTCTGTCACAGCCCCATGTATCAGCTTGACTTTTAGTAGAAGGAATTGTCTATTTTTCAGACATGTTGCATCCTCCAAAGGTTTTCCAGGCAGCAGTGATATGGAAGCTTTTTAACTGGGCCCAGTTTGTCTTGGGTTTTAATTGTGGGATAGAGTAAGAAGTACTGCTGCTGTGATGAAGAATGTATGATTAGCATGACTTCAGCACTAAACCAAATACATGGTTACTTTTACTGCCCAGCCATCCTTCTGTACTGGAGTCTCAAGCACAGAGCAATTGAGGGAAAAAGATACCTGAATGTAAATGTCCTGGTGCTGGCAAATCCAGATCACTTGCCTCTCACTAAATGTGCAATATTCTTCCTGTGTTGGAGCTCTACCTCTGGCATGGAGCGGGCTTGTGGGCCTGTGTCCCTTGGCATTTAAATGCACCATATGGTTTGGGAGGACTGACTTGTGGCATTGAACATACATCCAGCCAAACACTTTTCCACATCCAGTGGGCTGTGAGACAAGCCACCAGCATTTAATTGCCTTTTAATTTGCACTTTAATTTTGCTTCCTTCCTAAGCTTGTTTTATAGGGAAGTGTTTGTACTGAAGGGCAGAGGTGATCAGGAATTCTTTACATCTGGGGTTCTCAGCAGGGGATCCCTTTATTTTGACAACTTCTATAGAGGAAAATGGGAAGTACGCAGGACAAATTTTATTTATTGTATTAATCTGTCCACTAGTACTTGACTGATTCTAAATAAACCTGTGTCCTATTTTTAAATCCACACTGTTTTCTCCTTTTTTGCACTTTGAATACAGATAGGAGGCCTTCGATTTGAAGGTGGAATACATACTAAAGCAGTATATCATGGTTTGCAAATCTTGTGATGAGATCTTAAGAGGTTCCTTAAGAGGCATAGATAAATGCTATGATTAAGAGAGCATTTGTTGATAAGTACCAATGTATCCAGCTTGTGTTACCCTTGGGTGTAGGGTAGGCACAGCTGAGATTGTTGTCCAACATGAACTAATAAAGGAAGTTGAATACTTGGAGCCATATCTATGGTTATATATTTCCAAATGTTTAGTTGAGGCTTCTTTTAAAGCAAAGCATCTCTCTCTGTCAGATTATTGATAATAGCAGGAAGAAAGTATGAAACGAAGGAGCTGGAGAAGGAATAGGTGTGAAGAGAATGGTAAAGCAAGAAAGGGAAACAGAGATGGAGAGACTGAAATATGGAGAGCAGCGGCTTCAGATCTCCAGCAGAAAGCAAGTGGGACCAGTACAGAGACTTGCTGGTAAGGGTACCCTCTTGACATCAAGAAGACTGGAAGAGATCAGGGCAAAGGCAGAGATTTAGAATTAGACCAAAAAAAAATCTGCAGTGACCTGAAGTGCAGCGATGTAAAAGGATAAGACTTTCTTAGTGTTTTAGTGTACTGATCCTGCAGCTGACATTGGTTATAGAAAGCATATTTGTAGCGGATCATCTCTCTTCAAGCAGGTTTAAAATTTTATTTTCACAGGGCTCTTATTTATTAGCAGCTTCCAATGCCTTTGCCAGTAGGATGTGGACTATGGATGACCATCTGTTTCAGGTGATTATCACTTTCTCAGAGGTGTGGCATATGGGCCTATTTCTCATTCGTTTTGGAAATTTGGATGCTAGAAACTTGCAGGGCTGTGTCAGCAGGATTTTAGCTACTCTATCATGTTAATTTGAGCAGCCCTTTAGTCTATCTTCTGCTTTTTATTTACAAAGAGCTCTTGAAAGAATCCCAACAGATAAACCTTTCTTGAATCTCTGATGTAGACTGATCGATGTACTGCTTGGAAGTTGAGATGGTCATTAAAACTATCTGGAATATATGTGGAGGGTCTTCTTGAGCAACTGTACACTCAGGAAAGTTTGTTTAAATGCCTTTCAGTATTGAAACACTTCTGAGGAAACATGCAGCAGGCACTTTGGGAGGCACAGCGGGCCATGTTAGGTACGGCCATCTGTTTGTCCTATGAATCACAAGGTAGTGATAACTTTGTATTACTTTTTCTTGAGTATAAAGTGTAGTTCAGCACTGTAGTAACAAATATGCTTCTGCAAAAGATGCTAAATTAGATGAGTTCTTCATATACCACAATTGGGCTGTGCAGATAACAGTATATGGAGACTTCAGTGTATTTGGAGTATATCATGAACACTTTTCTTTCCTTCTGTGGTTGGGACTAAGGGTAGCTTAGGATATTCTAAAGCTTATTTCACTTTGATGTATCATAGCAATGCTTCTGTAATTTAAACATAGCAGTAGCAGAACTTTCAGGTTTTCTGAAATTGACATTACACCTGCCCACACTCCAGCATGCATACAAGTTTCATGGACAAGTTCTCCTTAATTCATATGTTCCAAACCTCAGTCATTGACCAGTTATTATAAATATAGCTGCCCAACGTTTATATAAGTTTTGTTGCCCGGACAGTGTTCACATGTCTAAGAACATAAGACTTGGAACACAGCAGGTGGTATATTAAAATGACTTGATTTCACACTCACTTTCTGGATGTATGGCAGCATACCTTCCTGGTTGCTGCAAGGAAGGTATGCAGTTAGGTTGTAAGTAGGATGGATGGGCACCTCCTTGTTGACAGAAGTTGCACTTTCAGCTACAACAGCTGCTGGAGTAGAGAAGGTAAAATAGTCAGGGACACTCTTCAGATTGGGTGAGGGCTCAGAAGCAGGCAGGTTTACTGCCATAGACTTTGATTGCTTGTGAGTCACCTATTTAGAAAATCCCAGATCATCTTCACTGTGCACCATGAACAAAAGAAAGGGGAAGAATATCAGTTTTCCTTAGCCAGAAGGTTTTTTCCTTTCACATTTGCACCATGTTTCTTCCTACTACTGAGAAATGAGAAGGTGAATATACAATGTGAATCCTGGAGTAAACAATACCTCCATAATTTGGCAGTTGTAACTGCTTTTCCAGGTAAATGCATGGGAAGCCTTTTGAGAACTGAGAAAATAAAAATTCAAGGCACTAGGAAGGAAAAGAACATATTCATCAACCATTACTTGCCATGTTACAAGCCTTTTATTGATTCAGACTAGGCTTCCTCAAGTTGATGTTCTCCATATATTTTAAAGTTATTCCAGCCTCATTAGCCAGGAAGCTTGAAGTTGTGCTCCAAAACAACCACTAGGATGGAGAAAGGTCATCTGAACCATGCCTTAAATGTAAGAAAAGCAGTATCTTCATTTCTTTAAAAAATGCAGAGAGAAGCCTTGGGAAATGGGAGATGTTTCATTAATTGGCACTATTATAGCATTAGGAAAAACTGCAGTTGCATCCTGTTGAAATAGTCTGTTTAATAATGTGGTACCTCATAGTAAAAGTGCTTCGGTGCATGTATATCCTAGTTGAGAAGGTACCTGTACTCTGCTGACCTCTGGGATCTAGCAAATACTCAAGGTGGTTTCTAGTGCTGAATCAGAGGGATGAAGGATTACCCAAGGATTATGTCTAGTTTGAAAAGGACAACAGTGCTGGTATTGTATAACCTCTCATGCAGGGTTAGACTTACACTTGAATTATACCTAAACAACAAGAAGGCCTTTAATAAAAAGAAATAGAGGTCCAGTGGAAGATTTTCTAGGTTTGGAGGAGAGGAGAGTTATTCCACTTGGAATTTAAGCTGTATTTCCCTGGTTGCCATTAGTCTAACTTTGTTTGTGTCTTTGGTTATTAACTTCCATGATACTCTTCCTTTGTATTACAAAGCTAACCCTGCCGGGCAGCTTTAACATAATAAAGGCTTTAGTTAGAAAGTCTTTGTCTTGATCTGCTTGGAAGGTTATGAGGGTGGGGGAGGGCCAGCACAGAACAGTCTGTATTGCATTAATACATACCACCCTATTGACGAGCAATAGCTCTCATTTGGAAAAAAATAGAAGGCAGTATTAAAGCTCAGTCTTATTGTGAGAACTATAAATCAAATTAAATATTAAATCCTAGAATGCATGTGACAGTTTACTTCCTTTCATATTCCATTGATGGAAATAATTAGGAGATTCCCCTGTACTCATTAGCATGGGTAGTATGCCTACCTTCCATGGAAATAGAGTGACCATTATGATACACCTGAGACACTCTCCACTGGATTCTAATAGTAAGTATTGCTTCAGCCATTGGAAAACTGATTAAAATGTGCATTGATGGGTTTAAGTTATCTTCAAATTTACTATCCTCTTTAGTAATCAATATCAGACTGCTTGTTCATTATTCTTTACCTAATTGCACAGCACAGCATAGTGAATTGTACTTCTGCAGCTTCTGTTCTTCTGAATTGTTCACTGTCCTAAGGAATCATAAAGATTAAAAATGAAACTTGTCACTGTGGACTCTTCTTTTAGGGAACATTTTGACCATTATTGAAGGTGCACTTAAAGAGAAAAGTTGTGCATGTTTGAACCAGAACTATCAGATGGTACATTCCCAACGAATCCAAGAGATGGATGAGAATGTGCATTTTTGGCAGATAGTGGAGACCATAGTGCATGATGGGTATGGATATCTTGTCTGTGTTAAGCTGAACTCATACCAGCTTACATGTGTATCGAATATTCCCCCGCAAACCCCCCCCCACTCCATCTCTGGATTGGCTCCTTTTGCTTCTACTTCTGCCTAAAGCTAACAGCAATCAGTGCACTTGTGCTCACATGGAACAGTCCTTCTGTGTGTGCAGATTCACTAATTCTTACTAGCTTTATCAAATGGTCAAAGGAGAATGTGTGTTTGCCTGCCTCCTGAATAAGCAGATCCACACAGACATGCATATGTGTACATCCAGGTAGGTATAGATCTCTTTGTATATGCTTATATATGAGAGAGAGACACACACATAATAAAGCAGTGTGTGCACACAGAGTTCCAAGACACTATTGTGTCATAGTCTAAAAACTAGACATGGCCAAAAAATGTAACCTATCCCAATAGAGCCAGCTCTATTTGCAGTAGCTGCCACTGAGTTCTATGGGACACATTTTTAATACAATTTTTCAGCTGTTTCAGGCAGAAGCAGGATTTAATTCCTGTCTCAGTTTTCTGCCTGAACTCACTTTATTTTTGCCTGTGAAAAAGGGTGGCTGCCATTCACTTGTGTAAGGAAAATAAAAGCACTAGACTTGGGGGCATCCTTGCATTAGTACCAAAGTGACTCACGTTCTAACACTGGACGGCTGCTGTAGGGACTTTGTCTACAGTGTGTGCAAGGCGATGCATTGCTCTCCTCTTTCAAGGTCCACTCATGCATCAAATAGGCCTTTGCCTGGGACATGTTTGGGTTGTCTACATACAAATATATGAAGATCAACCTCAACACTTTTTTCTTCATTTTATAGCATAAAACTTGGTGCTGGAGGGAGAGCTTTGCAAGCAGCCTGAACTGAGATGAACAAGTGGGTCCTAGATCAAATCAAGCCAGAACTTGCCCTGGAAACAAAAATGGCAAACCGAAGCTGTCATACTTGGGGCACATCATGAGAAGGCAAGACTGACCAGAAAGGACAATGATGCTAGTGATGGTCAAAGGCAGGATAAGAGGAAGACAAAAGATGAGCTGGATCAGTTCCATAAAGGAGGCCACGTCCTTGAGTTTGCAAGAGTTGAGCAGGGCTGTCAAGTATAGGACATTTTGGGTGGCATTCATTCATCGGGTTGTGAAAAGTTGGAGACAAGCTGATTGTACATGACAACAAAAAGTCATTAATAAACTAATTTGTTAGAAAAATGAATAAACTTGCATCAAAACACATTAGGTTGGCACATCATGAGAATTCACAGTGGTTAAGTAACCACTGTAAATTGTCATGTTGCGTGAACTTAGACCACCTTGCAAAGGGTAGCTTATATTTTGGCAACCACTACCCTGACAACTCATGGTTGTACTAAGGGTTGCCCAACCATAATGTGGAGTTGTGTCGTCTGAACATGGGTTACTCTATCTGTGGACTTTGGGTAGTAAGCTATTTAGCAAGAGCAGCAAAAACCCTTGCCACTCGTCACAGTCTTGCTCTTGCCACCACTGATGACTCTCCACGGATGCTTAAGGGTAACTCACTGGTTCATCACCCTTTAAAATAATTGTCCCCAGAAATTGCACAATTCTCATTTTAAAAATTACAGTTGGGTTTTTGCAGGTGCACAAGTGTACCCTTTTGACCATCCTGTATGTGTAGTCAGTGACCTAGTCAATGGCCTGGTAAGTTTCATCTTTCAAAGGGAATTGAAATAGCATTTTGACAAGGAAAGATGGCATAATAAGCTAATTTGCCTGCTGTCAAGTGCATAGCTGTGAACTAAGAAGGTGGAAAAGAAGCAAAACTCAGAGGAGATGACAACAAGGTAGCCCACTTGACAATGGACCTATCTGGCTTTGTAAGTGTTGAACTGACAATTCAGTTTTAAGTTTGAGTCTCCTCTTTGCAACACTTAGTGCTGCTGTTACTCTAGTTCCCTGACATTTTTAGAACTATTTGCATATTTTGCCTCAGGTTTAATGTCTCACTGTTTGCATATTTTAATAATTTGCATGTGTTGCATATTCCTCTGCCATTCGATTTGTGTGATTTCCACCCATCCTTACTGCTGTGCCTTAAATTTTGTATATATTTACTGATCCTCTTCACTTTGCCTTATAATTTGCATATATTTATGGATCTCCTCACTGCTCTGTAATCCATATGTATATTTGACAACTAACAATGGAGACCAGAGCAGGCAGGTGAGAAGAGTGAAGTGGGGTGGGGGAGAGCCAAAAGTGGCTGGCCACTACAGCAGAAGGATCTTCTGGGGTGGGCATGCATAAGTAGATGAAGCAGTCTTTTTTAAAGAGTTGTTCACTTGCAAAGGAAGTGCAGAAGAGGGTGGTGAAATTGGCAAGAACACAGGCCAGTGCGTATAGCTGTATGCTTGGCTAAGTTGTGGACAGGCGCACTGGTGCACACACACAATGCTGAAAAAAATAATGAACACGTTATTGCATTCATAATGAGTCGGCAAATTAATCCCATTTGGTGATCTGATGCAGGTAGGGGGAGCCCAGTGGCTGAACTGCAGAAAGGGTGCTAGCACAGGGTCGGAGGGAATGTGGGAACCTTAGTAAATGTAGTTGGGATATATGGGGAAAGCAAGGCATGGCATGCTGCAAAGCACACATCATCTGTTGGGCAAATGTGCCAGCCAACACATGGTGTTTTAAGAATGACATGTGAACTTGCCCAACATATGTTGGCACTTTGTTTCAAGTATCTAGCATACAATAACCTGTCCCTTATAATCATAACATTCTACAAAGCAAGACACCTAAGTGAATTTCATAGTCACATATCCCATACATTTGACTAGCATTGATAGGTACCCCATAAATGTGTCAAAGCACCAATTGGTGATTGACAATGCCCAGTATTCAGGATTATAACTTAGGTTCATTTTGTTAAATATTGCATACCATTAAATTATTTTAAAGCTATTATTTATTTCCTGTGGTTCTATACCAACCAGTGTATGAAATGTTGAAAGATATGTGAAGTTAAGTGTGAAATGCTAAGTTCCTTTCAAAAGAGATACCCAGATTTCCAAAAGTGTCTCAATTCTTGCTTTGGGAATCTTATTTTAAATTGGAAAATTTGCTGCAAATATCGAACTCTGCATCCCCATTTGCTGCTAGACAGCAGTTAGATGGTCATAGGAGCTTTTGGCTTCCTAGCTATCAGGTGGGACAATATTTCTGACCTTGCAGCTGGGGATTTGAACTCAAATCTTCCACCCCCTCCCACTTGCAGCAAATGATTCTCTGAGGCCATAAGAGTGACTTCAGAGAAAGGGCTTGGGGGTATTCCAGGGGCGTCAAGGAGTCAGTCACTACTTAAGGTACGAGGTATCTTGTCTAAAACTGGCCATCTAAGTGTTTTGCGGAGCAAGAGGAATGCAGAGGTGACCTTTGCCTGCATGTCTCCTGCTCTTCATCGTTTGGAGGATCACAGACATCCCAATAGGATCGTGTCCTAAATAATAGAAATGACCAGTTAGGTCTTAATGTTCATTTCATACAATATGTGACCACCTTTTAGATTTTATGCATTTAGAAAGTTTATGTCCACATTCACAGGAATCCATTACCATATGAATACATACATTCAGTTTGTTTGTTGATGGAAGGTGATTTAGGGTGCACTCCTCACTGTTTGAAAGTCCCCAGGCTCCAGGGCCTCCAAGATTCCTACTGGGCTGAAGCCATCATCATCACAGTAGGGCAGGTAATGTTCACTTCCCTACTTGCTGCTCACCTGCTCTTTTGCGGTATCTAGAATTAAAGATTTATACCAATGAAATACTCTGATGGGAAGACTATTCAGGCTTCCTGAAGGCTCTGCCAGTGGCTTATTGCTTTCTGCAAGAGCTCTAGACCTTGGACATAACAACATTATTCAACAAGTTTTGAGGAGAAGAAAGTGGAGAGCAAAAGAAGCCAGATTCAAAGGTTGGTCAGTGGTGTCAGCGGAATGGAGTTAACTCCTTGTGAGAAGGAGCAACCACAGTGATTGATATCAGAGGCCCCATAAAAAACTACAGAAGACAACTAAGGAGCAAGAGCATTTGTTTTGTGGGTATTAGCCTGACTCTAGCTGTTTAGCTGCTGTTTCTCCAAGACTGACTGGTAAGGGCACATTTAAACAAAGAAATAAGGAGCATAAATATTTTTTGACCTCGGAGGACAGGAGAGAAAGAAAGAAGAAAGTGACTATCTGACCTGTGGAGCCATCAGAGCTTCAGCAAAGTGGAATTACTCCTTACTCCTTGTGGTAACCTATTGCTATCACGGCTTGGTGTTGGCTGCTCCTTTGTCTTTTATTCCGCTGTTCCTTTGGTGCACTTGGTGGCTGCATGTTTGGTGATTTTTGGGGAAAATACAGCTCTTCTAATGAACCTTTTAATTATTTTTATTAACATCTGAATCTCAGAATGTAAAATGGTTTTCACCAGACAGGGCTACTAGAAGCAAGGTATTTCTCCCATCTTGTTGTCCTCACACTTTTTTTTTGTTCATATGAAGTTTTATACAAACCGGAAGGCTTTTTTTAGTGATTACAGTTTTTGTGCGAACTCATTTTATAACTTTCCACCACACTTCTCCCATCCACACATGCCAAATATCTTAACACTCCTCCAAATTTTCTTTTCTTGCATGGATTTTGTTTGGATTTATGGGCTGATTTTTTTAGGGAAAAACCAAGCTGAAATGACCATATGACCTACATACACAATTTATTCAACAGTAGGGCTTACTCCAAGAAACTGTATATAGGACTGCAGCCTTGGTGTTTGGAGGTTATTACAACTGCCTATCATTGGTAGGCATTTGTTGGATTTAAAATAATGGCTATAAAGAATCAGCATATGAAAGTCTTGATCTAATTTCAGGAATTTTGAGGGGGAAGTGGTAGTATCTCTCAGTGATGTTCTGTATATGTGTGCATTTTGTAAAGTGATACTATTACAAAAGCAGTGACACACAAACAGTGCTTTAGCTTTATCTCATTAGTACGCTGTGGTGATTTTCATCCTCTAGAAAGGAGGAGATGGTGAAAGAGGTTTAAAATAAAGCAGCTTTCAATAACCCCCTTCCTAAATCTTCTGTATGCTTGTCATTGTGGAACTGAGGTACCTTGGATAAGCCCAACACCACTGATCAAACCAGTTTCCAATCTGATAATCTAGGTCTAATATTCTGGCTCTGGCTTTGTTGTTGGAAACTTGGCTGCTAAACACCAAAATCTTATTTTCAGATCTGCTACAAATTGCCATCCTGGCCTCTAAAAGGGCTAATGCTTCACTTTGCAGAAAGAGAGGCCATGCAAGATCTTTCTGCCTGGATTATGCAGTCTTGTACTTCAAATTAGGCCGAGTCTTTATCTTACTGCTTCTGGAGCTTCCTTTTTCCTGCTACTGCTGGGGCATTTATACCACCACCAGGTATTTATTTCTTTTTGCAAAGTTGCCCACTTGAGGCAGCATTCCTAAGCACATCTCTTCTCGAGTAAAAGCCACTGAATTCAGTGAGATATTTCTAATCAAAAATGCATAGGGTTGCTTTGTAAATTTCCTGCTCGTGCAGCAATGCTAGGGTTGCAGTCCTAGATGCACTTACCTTACACAGGAAGATTTCCTTCAGAATAAACATGCATAGAATTATGCTGTAAGAAATCTTAGGGTATAAAAAAAATTGCTTCCACCTTAGGAGAGGGAGAACTAATGTGTCATTGTAACTGTAGCAAAACTTAACAAATTAACTGATGGTTTTTGCCCCAGTTTTGATAGGTAATGATTGCTATATATTGTACTCTGTACTGATTCAAGATGAAAGCAACAACATAGGTAATTTCAAAAGGATTTCTAGCACTTCTGTATTTGCTAAGCACTTTTAAACAATACTGATAGTGTGGGTATATTGCAAGCATGTTGTAGCTTTAAAAAATAGCGCAAGTCAGAACAGTTTGGTTAATCAAGTGGACATCAATAAGATGTAATTTTATCAATGAAATTCTTATTCATACAATGCAATTGAAGATAATGTGGTCAAAATTGTTCCATTAATCTTTATATATTGCCTAATGTACAACGTACTTGGACTGAATTGTATCCCTGAACACATTGTCCAAAGCAGCAATCAGGGTTTAGTTAGAAGCAGTGGGTTGGATCCAGGTTTATGCTTAAACAGATTAATTGACCGAAGTGGATTTTCCTTCCCAAAACAGCCCCCCCCCCACACACACACACTAAACATTCAACACAGAGAAGCTGGGCTCTAGTCAAATTGTATGGGGAGAAGAGCCCCAGAGCAGCTGTACAGACCTTTTGTGAGTAGAGCCCTTCCTCTTGTAGAAGAGAGAGAACTGGATTCAACCCAGCATCAGGACTGAGGTCTTGGTCCTACTGCCTTCCATGGGACTGTATTCGTTTGAACTAACTGGAGTGCTGTTGGTCTATCTGCGGCTGCACTGAACAAAAGGAATGGAACAGATACACAGGATAAGGGGCACAGGATTTCTCCCCCTGAGGTGCAAAGAAGGATTTTGTGAAGCATACCACAAACAACAAAAGGGCATTAGTAAAGAATGTTTAATTGTATCAGAAACAGAACCAGTTGGGGTTGCAACAGGATGAAAACGTAGTTAAAAGAGAATTGAAGGAGGCTAAGGAGAATGTGGAGACACCAAATGAATTCATCTCTCTTCACTGCAGAAAATGTAGAACAAATGCTTCTGCCTAAATTTATATTTTCAGGAAGGAAGTATGGCAAATATTGGTGATAATCCTCATTGTCAAATAGAAAGTTAATAAATCACCAGGGCCAAATGGAATCCATCCTAATTAGCAAGGATACAGACATACACGCCCTGCTGAAAAAAGAATAAACCTGGCCTCTGCAAAGGAAAATCCTGTCTCACTAAGCTTTTAGAATTTTTTTTGAGAGTGTCAATAAACATGAGGACAGGAGTGATCCAGGTGACATTGTTTACTTGGACCTTGAAAAGGCTGCTGACAAAGTCCCTCACTAAAGACTCCTGAGCAAGCTTAGCAGTCATAGGATGGGGGGGGGGGGGGGAGCTTCACTTACTGATCAGTAACTAGTGAAACAACAGAAAACACAGTAGGAATAAAAGGTAAATTTTCCTAGGAGAATCTCCAATCAATCAATCAATCAATCAATCGTGGGACTAACTTATACATTATCTGGAATTAAGAATCAGTACAGAGGTAGCAAAGCAGGAAAATGGGCATCAAAATGGCAAATGCATTTCAGTATAAGCAAGTATAAAGTGATGTGCATTTGGGCAAAAAAAATCCAAAGATCACATAAATGCTGGTGGAATTTGAGCTAGTGGTCAATGACCAGGAAAGAGATCTCAGGATTGTGGTGGACCGCTCCATGAAATGTTGACACACATTTCCTGTTGCTGATGATGATGTGAAAAAAGGAAAACTCCAAGTTCAGCATTATTGAAAATAATTCTGCTATGTTTCTACTCACATTGAACAAACACTTAGAATGTTGCATATAATTCTGGTCACTGTACCTAAAAACAATGTTCGACAGCTGGAAAAAGGTCAGAAAATGGTAAAGTCAAATTATCAAGGGGCTGAAACATCTCCCCTGCAAGAAAAGCCTACATCTGAACTGTTTAGATTACAGCAAAGGTAAATGAGAGAGTACATGATAGTGGTGTGCAAAATTAATGTATGATCCGGAGAAAGTGAAAATGAATTGCCTGATACCTGCCTAATGATCTCTTGATGTAGGGAGCTTCATTCTTACCAAATCACATAACTATAGAGATGAGCTGCCCTGACACTCCAAAGATCATCTCCACGTCTGAAATTTCAGTGAGGAATGTCATACCGGTGCAAAATCATGTAATCTACAAGAAGATCTCTCATGACAAAGCTGTAAGTACCTAGCACAGCAGCAATTGTGGACTGGAATCCATTTGTCACTTGTATGATACATCATCATCATCATCATCATCATCATCATCATATTACACCATACCTTCTTTCCCTACCCCTACTCCTACAAATTGCAGTATTTCCCAGCCAGAAAAAAAGGAGGCATGCTGGGAGTTGTTGGCCTTTTCCTGTCCATAAACATGCCTCAGTGATGCATTACTAGATGATGCTCTTGTCCAATCATGATTTTCTCCATCTTGCAGGTTGCTATCTATTTAGGAAAGCGAGATTTCATTGACCATGTAGATCATGTGGAACCTGTTGGTGAGTCCAACTCAGATGCATGTTTCTTCTCTGCACTTGCTACAAGGCTTGTATATTCAGTGTTCCAGAGTGTTTCTTCTTTTCTCTCTCTCTTACTATAGATGGTGTGGTATTGGTGGATCCTGATATTGTCAGGGAGAAAAAAGGTCCGTTGGCTTAATGGCTGTTTCAGAGATTACTGCTTAAAGATTCAGTACACCATTTTAAAATGAGAAGATTTCTAAGTCTGAAATAATTCCACACACTGAAGGAGCATCACCTTATCCCGAGACCTGTGTTCAAAGGAGTATAGGAACTCTGTAATAGTAACAGCCCTATCATTGCTCTTGTATTAAATGTTTCAAACCACTTTATTTACACAATCTGCATGAGTGAAGCTCGGATATCTGGGTGTTTCTCAGTTCAATTTGGCATGTATTTGATAATGGAGAAACTTGAATGGTATTAAGAAACCAAGGCAGATACTGGAACATCTGCATAACATCTGCATCTGAACATCACATAAGAGCATCTCAGGAAGGGACATTTCTGGGTTGTTTTGGAAAGTAAAAGCAGGTGGGCAGGAACCTTCTAACTTGCTTGCACACTCACAAGTAAACCATGGATAATTTGACTATCTCAATTGGGTCACTGGTCACTTTCTGTGCCTCAGTGTCCTTCTGACTGTCTAACAAAGTTTCAGGAGTGTTCAGCTACTTGCTCTGTATTGGAAGACCCCACCACCAGCACACTTTATTTCTGACATCTCCCAAATCTTTCCAAATCAGCTCAATTTAGTATTGGATTCAGGATGTATCTGCTGTACACACCTAAAATATCTAACATTTTATACTCAACTACTGTAAAGTACATCAAACAAAAAAGCTGATGGAATGGAATTTTGTGCAACTTGGATATCCCAGGGTGAAGCCAAGCAAACATTTGCCCATCAGCAATGATCAGAAATTACTCCCACACTGCCTAGATAAATATACGTTCCAGTCATAACAAAGAGGATAAATTACTCAATGCCTTAAAGGACTGTGTGCAAGAACAGTTGGTTATGGAATTAATGAAGGGGAGGCAACATTAGAGTTAATCCTAGCTAATGTTACCCAGGTCCTAGTACAAGATGCAAATGCTGAACCAACTGGAAACAGTAACTGCTGTGCTATTGATCTCAATATATTTGTTGGAAATTGCCAAGTAAGGTCAACAGTCGTGTTTGACACCAAAAGAGGAAAACTCTAGAATGAGGGAACCAGCGAACAGGAAGTTGCATAGGTAGGAGGAAGGTAAAAAGGACTAACTTCCTGCAAAATGCTTGAAAGTTATGCAAAATCAATAGAAATTTAGCCAGAATATATACCACAGCTTAGGAATGGTAGCACCAAGTCCAAGATGTCACTAGCATGATAAATGAGAAGGTCAAAGAAGTATTACGCAAAAGAAGGCTTCCTTTGGAAAATGGCAGTCTCCTCAGATGAGGAAAACAAAAGGGAGCGTGCTTGGGCAAAGAGGCATGCTGTTTTGTTTTTTACTTTTTTGTTGGTTTGCTTTTATTTTTAATGGGCCAGTCTCCACTTGCAAGCAGTTACTATCAGACCTCTAAACACAGACCTTCCACATGGGTAGATGATCATCATGGTTAGTCATGCATAGCAGTATAACATTCTGTGTATGTTCTTCTCAGTGTATGTGACGCTCACTTGTGCTTTTCGGTATGGACAAGAAGATATCGATATTATGGGATTGACTTTCCGAAAGGACCTGTATTTCTCTAGGGTACAGGTATACCCACCACTAGAAAAACAAAGACCACTCTCCAACTTGCAGGAATGTCTAATGAAAAAGCTGGGTGGGAAAGCCTATCCCTTCCTGTTAACTGTAAGTAGTCTGCATTGTTCTTGCTTTAGGTTCTGTTCCCAGTCTGATAAATTGATATGGAAGTGCTTAGAAGATAGATCTGTAGTGCATTAGTATTTACTTTAATTTCCAGTATAGGTGTCTCTAATATTTTCCAAGTAGCAATGCTGCTTCATCTCCAGTGGCAAAATATAGGAGCCGAGCTTTTTTTAAAAGAAGGCTTCTTCAGGTTGCAGATGCATGGTGAGTGACCACCCTCAGGAAGACTGGGTTCAGACAATACGATAACCCACTACAATACAGGCAATAAGAGCCAGTATGGCATGGGTTTAGGGTGCTGCACTGGGGACCCAGGAGATCTTAATCCCCACCTGGCCATGAAGCTCAGTGGGTGAATTTGGGCCAGTCACTCACTCTTAGTCCAACCTACTTTGCAGGGTTGTTGCATGAAGATAAAAAGTGAGATATAAATGCAGTGTAATAATAACAGTAATAACAGTACTATAACCTGCACTCAAGTGTTGAATATGGGTTGAACATGGTTTCTTGTTGAAATGTGGGTGATCATCTGAACTCATGAAGAGAATCCATTATTTGTTGCTAGGTTGCAAATTGTGGGTTGTTCATCATGGTTTATTATCTCAGCCATGTTCAGACAACACAATAACCCATGTTTTAACAGCAACCCATACTCAGTCCTGAGTGAGGATTATCATGCTGTCTGAATCCAATCTCTTACATTACCTTGAAATGTCTGTTATGTAAAGCTTTCTCCAGCACTGATCTTTTGTGGAAAATGGTGCTACTGCTGGCAGAATTGTCTGTGCTCAGCATCTTGCCTTCCTTGCCTTTACAGTTTCCAGACTACCTGCCCTGCTCAGTCTGCCTGCAGCCGGCTCCACATGATGTTGGGAAGGTGAGGACAGGAGGAATGGCATATAATATCTCCACTAAGTCATTTTAAGAATTTACTTCTGCTTATAGGTGTGTTGAAAAGGGTGTGAGGGCATCAGTTCAGAGAGAACAAATGTCCTCTTATTCACAAAGATATGGCATGGTGCCTCCTCGTGAAACTTGATGGCAGGGAAGCTGAAGTAGATGTTAGGAGCCATTCAACTTTGATTCTCATTCTGCAAGAAAGAGAAAGAAGAAACAAAGGTGCATTCAGACAGTCAGTCCCAAGTGCTACCAATCAAAAGATATTCTTTTCCCTCCTAAACAGATTCTCCATGGTAAGAAAAAAAAAAGACTCAAGAGACAGGAGGGTTACAACTGGTGATATTGCCACCTGGATTCCTTGTAAAATTCTGTAAATTAGACAAAATTCAGCTGATGAACAGTATTGATCCATAATGGGAAATACCCTACACCACCCTTTTTCCTAAGAACAAGGCAAGCCATCCTAGGTTGATGTGGAGACTGAGACCCTCTTGCACTTACAGAGCTAAGAAGGATGCCAATTGTCTCTTCACATGAACTCAAAATCAGAAAAAGTTGTGTTGCTCCAGATCTTGCAGAGAAATGAAGGAAAGCTCTTAAATATGCAAGTGCTGGCTGCCTCCAAGACTATACATTTAAGAGTATAAAATGTTGCCCAGAAGTATGCTTTACAAAGTTATATTAGATTTCAAGATGTCAAGGTAGAATAGCTGGTGGTAAGAGATCAGCTGGATTAGGCAAATGCCGGCAGCAGTTAAACTGGCCATACCCACTTTTTGCTGCACACCAAGGCACTTGCAAAGGCTGTAATATAGCATCATGATTGTACAACCACTAGGTGGTGCTGTTCTGAGCCTCATTGCTGAACTAATATTTAGCATCTTGCCTTATTGTTCTGCCCTGGAGAAGTTCCTGAAAAGTGCAGAACCCTTTTCTGCTGGGATAATTTACAAATCCTTCAAATGTTTCATTTGGAGACCCCAAACATTTCATTTGAAGCTTCATATCTCTAGGAAACCACCCTGCAGTCCATGGAAACTTGCTGAAATAAAGTAATAGGGGCCTTGTTGATCTGTTGCCCACACATGCTTCACCTGCTGCGTCCCACCACCCCAAATCTTTCTGCCAGAGATTTTTTTCTGAAATCAAATGCCCTCCTCTTTCCCTGTTTACACATCCCCTTTCAGGAGGCAAGAACCTTTAAATACACATGCAAGCAAGCAAGCAAGCACATGCACACACTTACCCTTCATGCCATATATAAATTAGCAAATGCAAATTTGTGGTTTTTTAAGGTGGGGGTCCTGTGAGTCTGAGTCCCACATCTTTTCAGTACCTAGCACCACTCCTGGTGAGAAGGATTAGAAAAGCAGCTGAGTACACCACTCTTTTTATACATCTCATCTTTTTTTCCATTTAAGAAGAGCCCTAAAAGGTCTTCTGCTTGAAGCACCTGAAATCTTGGTACAAGAGAGAAAGGAAGATTTCTAAAATGAGCCCCTGAATTAGAAAAATCAGTACACATAATTTTAAAGGAACTGCAACTGAAGTTGGCTGAACATTGAGGGAGCTTCTATACACAGATTTTTTTTAACATACGCAGATGCTCAATACACCCAGCAAAAATAACTACTGTCCCATTTCTTTCTTGCAGTGCTGTGGGGTGGATTTTGAGGTCAAAGCTTTCTCCACAGAAAATGCTGACGAGAGGATTCTCAAAAGGTGACTGTTTGTTGGACATTTTGGTTGGGAAATGAGGATTGTTGAGAAACTGTCCAATAGAAACAGCTTTCTATTCTGCTCTTGGTTCTAAAACTCCATTTCTAAAATGCTACCATCTGGCCAAAATAAAGGTGCATTATGCCTTGTTTATCATCAAGTTTTGCCTTTAATATAAGACCAGCAAGACCTATGTAAGTCAACATCCTGCTTCTCGCAGTGGCCGACTAGATGGTAACAGGAAGCTCACAAGCAGGATATGAGGACTGATGTGAGATCAATCCTGCTGTTGATCCAATAGCACATTGCCTCTAATACTGGAGGTACTATTTGGCTACCCATCATGAATAGTAGCTAGTGATAGCTTTAGATTATATGAATTTGTCTAATCAACCCTTAAAGCAGTCTAAGTTGGTGGGTCTCACCACCTGTTAAGAAAGTTGATTCCACAGTTTAACTAAGCGCTGTGTGACAAAGTAATCTCCCACCAGTCAGCTTCACTGGATAACCTCAGGTTCCAGTATTGTGAGGTGTGGGGAGAGTGAAATTTCTCTGTCTCCACTTCTCCACATCCTGTATAATTATAATGACCCTCCCAACTCACCTATTTTCTAAATTAAATACCATATTAACTCCATAAAGGAAGCCACAGCCTTGAGTTTACAAGAGCTGAGCAGAGCTGTCATTTTGGAGAATGTTCATTGATAGGGTTTCCGTAAGTTGGAGACAACTTGACAGCACACAATAACAACAGTCCAAGGGGCAGGCATGGGAGGAGTGAGGCACTGCTTTCTTCCAAAAACTCTCAGTAGTTCCTCAGCCTCTCCTTTGTGAAGAGGGAAAAGCATTTAGACAGCTGAAAAACCCATCTAAATATTTTGGATGGCAAGGAGTACATGGAGGCAGCTCTAGACTCTGCACTCCCTTCCACCTTCCTTTGGGTGCCTATAGTTCTTCCCATTCAGAGAGTTAGGAGCAGTTACATTGCATGGTGCCCTTAGAATTTTAAAAACTCAAAAAGGTAACATTTTACTTTTTCTTACTTTGGCTGAGTTAACATCTGTTTCCAAATCAGCTCCAACATCTTGAGTGTTGCAGAACTTTTCACTACGCAAAGTAGTAAGCTAACTATGTAAATCATTATGATATGAACAAAAATAAAAAACAAACTTTACTTGAAATCACCTGGTATATTAGTTTAAGGCTTCAGTCCTAAACCAGTTTGTTAGGGAGTAAGTCCACTATGGCAAAGTGGAGCTTAATTCCAAGTACATTTTTATCATACCTTTCTTTTTAAGAAACTCAGGGTAGTGGACATGGTCCTCCTCTTTTTATCTTCACAACAACTGTGTGATGTAGGTTAGGTTGAGAGGCTGAGAGGGCAAAAATCCATAAGTGAGTTTTGAGGGGGGGATACAGAACTGATTCTCCCTTATCCTGGCCAACATTCTGATCATTAAGCTACACTGGCTTGCATAGCATACTATTGCACTGGGAGCCCAGAAACTTTAGTTTCCTTAAATAGTACATGGCAAGTTAAGACGAGACACTTCCTCCTACTGCCTTTGCTGGTGGTGTAGAAAAGGCATCAGATTCAGAAGTGAAACTGCGCAGCAGGGAGAGGAAATGAATTGCTACTTGCTTTGTGAACTGCTTGCTGTGTCCTGTTGCTGATTCCCTCACCATGGCAGCAACTGGCTTCTGTCACTGTCCGCTGCCTCTAGTGCTTCTTCCTCCATCTGTTTTAATTCATAGCCTCTTGGCTTTGCAACCTCCATTGCTGCTCACCACTTTCCAGTGCCCAGAAGTAAACTTGTTTTCTGCTCCTTAGGAATTCTGTCCGCCTGCTGATCCGCAAAATCCAGTTTGCCCCAGAAGTGCCAGGACCCCAGCCTCATGCAGAGACCTCCTGGCAGTTTTTCCTGACAAAGAAACCATTGCACCTGAAAGCATGTCTCAGCAAAGAGGTGAGTGGTCCCTGCATGAGGAACTTAGCTGCTCTAGTTAAAGTGCATGTTTTGCTTCTCCTTCATTATCCAGGAAGCCCCATTTTGTTCTTTGTGTCCCACATCATTCAAGGACTTTGAGACCAGTTGCAACAGTGGTTCATACCAGGAAGCACTTGGACTTGCCACTATGGTAACATCTTCCACTGGCTTTCAGGAGTCATTGTACAAGACACAGGACCTTTGCTTCTGCCTGGAAAGACTGCCTCTGTAAATGTGTACAGATAAAGTGATCTTATGTAGGCCATATGTGAGTTCTCCTGCTAAACCAGTCTGATTGTTCCAGGTGTTTTACCATGGCGAGCCAATCCCTGTCACAGTAACAGTGATCAACAATACAGAAAAAGTGGTTAAAAAGATCAGTGTGTCAGGTAGGATGTTGATTTTGTCCATAAACCTGTGAGATGTTTCTTATCTGGCAGTAGATAGGTAGAGTCATAGGTTAAAGAGTGTAATGAACAGCTGTGATGGAGGGGCTGCAATAATGCAGTTTTTCTGGTGTAAGGGATTAGTCTTTAAATTTGTAAGAACTGCCACTGATACTGCCTTAGAAGCATGTTGCAGGAATTCTGCCAATGAAAAATTGCCCTCGAGCCATAATTCTACTATGATATCACAGAGAGTTACAGAGGCACAAAGGAGAGGGACAAATGCACAGTAATTTGCTCAAATGAATCCTAGGAAATAACCTAGATCCTGTTTTTTTCTTCTTGTTCTTTCTCTGTAGATTAGGAGAACTGAAGTTTGCTTTCCTGTTTTCTTTGCTGTATGTTTATTGGATAATCCTCTGTTTCATTCTCTCTTCAGTGGAGCAAGTTGCCAATGTGGTACTATATTCTAGTGACTTCTACACCAAGACAGTGGCTCTGGAAGAAGCAGAGTAAGAGTGTTGTGTTTTCCTCACCTGCCCTCTTAGTTTTCCTGTTACAATCTTTTCACTGCCTCTCTCTTTCTCAAAAGTAGAGATGCAACAACTTGCCAGGTTTCTGTTAATTGGATTTTATGTTGCATTGGATGTTATAGTTTTAATCTTGTTGTGTTTTTATGGCTATGCTGCCATCCCTGTTATTGTGAGCTGCCCAGAAAGCCCTCAGGTGTTATGGAGTGGCATACAAGTGCAATAATACTACTACTAATAATAATATTTCTGGCCATCCATTCAGATTGGAACTAAAACCCTTGTTTTTTTCTTGTTGTATCTACTCCAGGGAAAAGGTACAGCCCAATTCCATCCTCACAAAGACAATGACAGTTCTTCCTTTGCTGGCAAACAATCGAGTGAAACGGGGCATAGCACTGGATGGGAGGCTGAAGGATGAAGATACAAACTTGGCTTCCAGTACCATGTAAGCACAAATTGGAATGGCATCAGTATAGAAAGACCTAATCCCTTTTTTGTGTATGTTAAGTAAGAAGTGCAATTGTGGAAGTGGCCGGTATATTTAAACTCATTCAGAATCAGTCTTGCTTGGAACCTTTTTACAAAACGAATTCCTAGAAATAGAGGGATATTAGATGGAATATGAGATTTAGAAAAAATATATTACAGTAATTGAAGCAGTTCACCTTGCTGTTTTTACTGTTCATTTACCTTACCTAGTACTGCAATCACACATCATGATCCTATTTTTATTATCTTTAATCTCTGACAGTATTAAAGATGGGATAGACAAGACAATTCTGGGGATCCTAGTTGCTTACAAGATAAAAGTGAAGCTCACTGTCTCAGGGTAAGAGCTATGGAACTTTCTAGATTGTGGAATCAGATTATTCTAATAGGTAGTTCTGTCAAGTTTTCTGTTTTATTAGACTCAGATGAATTGTTTGGAGGGGAGTGAATAAGCAACATCTTATTATCTTCTAGAAATGTTAGATTGTATGTCCAATCATTGTACTGTATTCTAAGTTATTCATTTTGTTGGAAGAGATGGAACATTTGTGTGAATAAATGAGAGGGAGAGAGACTTCTGGCTATGGGGCAGCATACTAATGCAATCAATCAATCAATCAATCAATCAATAATCCAATATTTCAAGGCCAGATCAAGGAGTATACATGGGTGGTAGGCTCTTGGAATGAGTTAGCCCATGAGTACTGGGGAGTAAGGGTGAATTTATTGATCTGCATTTATTGAGCTGCATTTGGTATGAAGGAGGTATGAAGTATGACCAACTGGTAAATAATGTAAGCTTTAACTTGTGCTTTGTTCATATTTTAGCCTGCTAGGAGATTTTACCTCCAGGTAAATCTATGAGATTTTTGTTTAACATTCCACCCACCTGCCTCTCAACATCATTTCTTTGTATTTTCAGGCTTAAATGGAAATGGACCTTCTTTGTTTTCTTAGTTTTATAACTATCCCAGGCCTCTCCACCATGAATGCCAATGTACTCATTAGCCTCCTCTAAAAATGCATTGGTTTCCACCCTTATTTTATTCTTCCAATGTATTTTCAAAAGTTGACATGCTGTAAAACAAATGGCTGTCCTCTGACACCATCTCTTTTGGGGTCAGAAGAGTTTTGGAACTCACCTTTAATTTATATTTAGGTTCTTGGGAAAGTTCAAAGCATTCATTACTGTTTAGGCCCAGTATTTTCAAAGTACGAGGTATGTTTCCTTACAAAGGAATGAATAGTTGTTGCCTGAATCTCCACCACCGGTTCTGATTCGCTGTGATATTTCCACACTAGAACGTTATCTGGAAATGCCATCTTTTGTCTGCTTCCTTTTTTATAGAGTATCTGAATTGTTTTCAAAATGTTGTATTTCAGTGTTTTTGCATTCCCTTTCTGTGATTTGTTGCAATTCTTTTGGAATTCAAAATAGCTGTAATTCCAGCCTATCCATTGGGTAGCAGGCTTAGTGGAAACAGCCAAAGTGCTGTAAAAGTGGGGAACTGAAGGCAGTGGTTAAGGCTGAAGAAATTCCAGACAGGGCCAGTGCCGTGTTTCTGTACAGTCCTGGCAGAAACAGCAGAAGAAAAAGAAACATTTATACACAAGAGATGCAAACAAAGCAATCTAAGAGAAGGTTTCAAATTTCCTACTTTAGAAGAAGCCATCAGTAAATTAGTGGGAGCAGAACTATTTACATGCCTTCGTTCCAGCTAATAATTTTAGCCAATTCATTTTGCTGACAATAGCCCTGCGACCAGGGCTTTTGTTACCACATTATTGTATTTATATTTTACCAGTTTAGGCAACCACACCTATCAAGAAATTGAAGTCTCTGCCTTAGTTATTTATGTCCCAGTTATGTCCAGACCAGACATGGTGCATTCTACATGGGATTACCTTTGAGGGTGGTTCAGAATTTTACATCAGCCATGCTGGCTACCTGCTCACTTCTGGACCTGATTTGAAGTGTTAGTATTGACCTTTAAAGCCTTAAACAGGATGAGGACAGGTTTTGCATATGGCCACCTGCACATATAGGAATTTGCCTAGCAGAATAATTCAAATGCACAAGGGAAAAAGTGTGTGCGTGGGGGGTGGGGGGTGGGGAGGTTGCTTTCATAAGGAAATGCTGCATTTTCCCTTCTCTTAAAACCCTCATTGAAAGGGCTTTTTAGACACAAAACCAAAACTGGAGGGTCACAACATCACGTAAAAGGTCGCCCATAAATAAGCATGAGTAGGGAACAAAAGCAGAAAAACTGCTTCTTGTAGAAAAGCCCTTTGGGCCACTCACTGACTTTCAGCCTAATCTACCTCACAGGATGAATATGTGGATAAAAAGGAGAGAGGGAGGATAATGTTAATAAATACCAACAAAAATGTTAGTAATAAATACTAGCTGTAGATGGTATACAAAAATAGTAAATAAATAACTACATCAATGTAAGCTGTCTTTGGGTCCTTGGAGGAGGAAAGGCAGAATATAAATGTAACGAAAAATAAATGAAATGAAACACATTGCTGAATTTCCAAATACTGAAGGAAGATTATGGGTATAGTGCTAGGATTTAGTTTGGAGTAATGCTAGATGGACCAGATGGCTGGGTAGATGGGAATGGCTAAGTTTGGTATGTGGGTGTAATAGATTCCTGCCTTTTCTCTCTCAAAAGTGAGGTGAGCATGGAACTTCCCTTCCGTCTCATGCACCCCAAGCGAGAGGAGGTCAACACTGCAGGTCAGTAGAAGAGCATCTGTGCTTTTCTTGCTTGTACTTGATTTCTTGTCATTGCCTGTTACATCCTGATGCTTTTCTAATGTTCAGAAACTTAACTGGATGGTTCTGAGACACATAACTTGGTAAGCTGAGGAGAAATGCATTTTCAGATAGGACTGTAAGGAGAGTGGAGGCTAACGGGAATTTTCCTTCCATGTTCCCCAGCAGAAACTCATGTTTACACTTAACAGCACTGCTTGGGTGAGGCATGCTGTGGGGAAACAGTGAGTCCCTCTCCTTCTGGTTCCCCACTCCAGGTTCCCAGCCCCATGCTTTTGCCAGTGCCAGAAGAGCAGGATTGTTCATGCTCATGGGGCAGGAAACCAGGAAGAGGATGGCAGTGGCCAGAAGTGCTGTTGTTAATGTCATGTGGACTTACCCATTAAGTGACAAGTTGTGAACTTCAAGGTGTCATATGGAAATATAAAAAGATGCTTGTGGTTAGGCTTCTACTCATTGGGCACAATTTAACTGAGCAGAGCTAACTGCAAGACTTGATGGAAGCCTTATTGTTCCTGTTGCCCAACTTATTCATGTACATCAACTTGTACATACACACCAAAAGTTTGTACTGCTGAAAGAATGGAAAAGCTGTTTGTGTATCCCCATCTAGCCCTTTTCTCGGATGCCCAACAAGTGAACTATCCTTGGAGCATGAGTAATTTGTATGGGGCAAAGAGGGGGATGACTCAATTGAAGAGAAGGGAAGATTTCTTATTCCCTGCAGTGCTTCCTTGTCTGTGTGCTGGTGCACTGCCAATGGGAGGGCAGCCACTTGGGACTGAAGTACAGTTGTTGTTGTTAGTTGTGAAGTTGTGTCCGACCTATCATGACCCCATGGACAACATTCCTCCAGGCCTTCCTGTCCTCCATCATCCCCTGGAGTCCACTTAAGCTCGCACCGACTGCTTCAGTGACTTAATCTAGCCATCTCATCCTCTGTCATCCCCTTCTTTTCTTGCCATCTATTGTTCCCAGCATTAGACTCTTCTCCAGGGAGTCCTTCCTTCTCATTAGGTGGTCAAAGCATTTGAGTTTCATCTTCAGTACCTGGCCTTCTAAAGAGCAGTTAAGGTTGATCTCCTTTAGGACTGACTGGTTTGATCGCCTTGCAGTCCAAGGAACTCACAGGAGTCTTCTCCAGCAGCACAGTACAATGAATCATTTAAATCTTGTATGAATTGGGGAATTTTCTTGATTGTTTATGGTTGCATCTGGGCAAGTTTTGAAATGTTTACTGAGATTTTATTTAACACTAAACCTTGGACTAATTTACATAGGGAATTCATTCTAGTCCTATTGCTAATGTAACATGATGTTACCCACAATTAATCTCAATTACAGGATTTTTTTCCCTAAAAACATAGTGTTTTCTCACATTCTGTTTGTAATAGTTTTTCCTTTTACTGAAACTTCTCTATATTTTTGGACTAAAGTGTACCCTACATTTCTGATATGAATTCTCAGCAAATTCCCAATAGAATTATAATTTTTCACAGTATAAGAGGAAACATACCTGCGTTAACTCAACATCCATTTTGTGGGTATGAATGGACAGATCAGAGTGCAAACCTTCAGAGGAATTTGCAGCAGACAGAATACCTGATGGGCTTTTAACAATTATTCATTGAAACATACATTTGAAGCTACACATGTGTAACAATATCATAGCACTACATTTTATGGACTTTGCAATGAAATGTAACATGCCAGGATGGGAAAATGCTGTCTCAATCGTTGCTAATAATTCATTGATGCCACAAGACTCTATGTATACCAAAACTATTGTAGTTTAAGAGAGAGTTTGCCTCAAGAAAGTTAGAGTTAATACAAATTCAACACCACACTAATTAGCAATGTGTGTCTCAGGAGGAATAAATGAAAATACAAATGTGTGATTAGTTTCTTCCCACTGGCTAAAAGCCTGCTTATTCTTAATTTTATTGCCTCATATCATTCTTGCACTCAAGGGTACAGAGAAAGACAGATTGCTATCTCTTCTTTGCCATATGTATGCATAGCCTGAGGACATGGCCATTTCTGTACTGTCAGGTCACATAGTTAACATAGTTAAACAGAACACATATTCTGTTGCACCTATAGGGCACTGAGAAATTCTGTAACTTAACTTTCACCTTCAAATTGAGTTAAAATAATCATTAAATGTTTTAAAGGAAAGGAATGGCCATAGGCATATGCAACATTTCCAGTAGCTGCTTAGAGAAAGTTTTATAGAAAGTTTTAAAAAAACATTTAGGGCTTAAACATTTTCTGACGAATGGCTCAGGACGGCTTATGATTTTAAAAATATAATATTACAATAATATAATAATTTAAATGGTAGATATTAAAATTAACATACAACAACACTTCATAAAACTAAGAGAGAGAGAAGAAAGGAAGAAAAATAGAAAAGGACCTTAAAACTTCTAAAAGCCTAATTATTAAAATGCTGTCCAAATAAAAAGGTCTTTACCTGGCAAAAGAATATAAAGTCAGTGCCAGGCGAACCTCCCTGGGGAGCACATTCCATAGTCTGGGCGCCACTGCAGAGAAGACCCTTCTCTGGGTAGACACCCTCTGTACCTCCTTCAAAGAGGGCTCCCAGAGCAAGACCTCTCCTGCCGATCTTAAGGGGCATGAGGGCATATAGGGAAGGAGGTGATCCTTCAGGTATTCTGGTCCCAAGCCATTCAGGGCTTTATAGGTTAATACCAGCATCTTGAATTGGGCCCAGACTTCAGTTGGCATTGTATGAGAATAATGGCCAGCCCCCGTCAGCAACCTGGCAGCTCTATCTATCTACCTGGCAGATAGTTGGTGTATCCGGACTATGTAGCCCCATGTAGAGCATGTTACAATGATCCAACCAGAAAGTTACCAGAGCATGTGTCACTATTGCTAGGCAGTGCTCCTCCAGGTAAGGACATAGCTGTTGGATCAACTGAAGCTAAAGGAAAGTGCTCCTCACCTACAAATACAAATACAAAAAATGTGGTTTTTCATTGTAAAAGCAAAAGGAACACTTAAAAAAACTTGCATATTGTGCTCTTTGGAAATAAGACAGTGCCAACTTGGAGTTAGGTAGAAGGAGCCCCTTTTTGTAGTCCTTGTATCTCAAGTCTGTGATAAAATTTAGTGTAGATACAGTGATTAACAGTCTTGTGTAGAAAAGTTCTAGTGGCCATGGATAGCCACATCGTCCATAAATTTGTTTAATAAAATTAAAACCAGCCGTGTTGGTAGCTATCTACCACGACATTTTATAGAAACGAATTTCATTAGTTTACAATGAAGCACTTTCTCTTTTTTAATTTGTAATTTATTTTTATGAATTAAAAATACCAAGGGATCACAAATTTCAAATATTACATGTAATACTAAATACAGGAACTTTCACACAAAGTCGATAATTGTTATACTTTCTATCAAATTTGTAACTACACTATAACTTATTCATACTTAATTAAAATTAATAGCTATTACACAAAGGAATACTTTGACTTAAATATCTAGAGAATAAAATAACTCACCTTACAACTTATCTACAAACCCACCAATTAGTAATTAAGTTTCCCTTTTTTTCCAAATAAAACAATATTGTAATAAGAGAATTAAAGTCACCAAACAATTAAACTAATTTGATCATTCAGTATATAATCTTTAATGCAAGAATATTTTCCATTACTTTCAAATTTGTTTTAAATGGCAACAATTTATATTGAAATTTCAGTTCATTAATGACATTTTATAGGTTCGATTTTTTCTCTCAATTATTAACTAAAATATATGTAATAAGCTTTCCCTTTGTCATTAAATTCTTCAATTGGTCTTCCATTTATATAGCTAGTTAATTTTGCCATTACTGCATATTCACCTAGCTTATTTTTCCAGTCTTTGCTTGATGGGCAATCTTCTGCTTTCCATTGCAATTGTGACTCTAGCTGCTGTTATCATACATTTAAATAATTCTATCATGTTTCTTGAGAGAATTTCTGGCATGGTACTCAATAGCAAGAAACACTTTTTTTTAACAGTGTGGGATCTCCCATCTCTTAGCTCCATTGGATGACACTGGATTCAATATTATGAAAGTCTACCCTAATATAATTTTACAAGCCTGTCATGTCTCCCCACCTTTCTATTAGAAATAGGTGTATATAATGGTTATGGCATAGTGAACCAAGGTGAAAACCTTGAATTGAGAAGCAGAGGACACACCTTATTATCAAACCTATGCTCATTTACCTGACAGTTAACACCTACTGAATACAGTGAAACTTAATTTCAAGTAAATATGCATAAAAACAGGCTGCCATATAGCATATGCTAGTTTTAAAATGTGTTGTTCTTGCTAGTGATGCTAGATAAGGAAGGGAGGCTGGCAGCCACACAACACGGCTTCCACAAAAACAGGTCCTGCCAGACAAACCTTGTGGAATTCCACAACAAGGTTTTGAGATGGCTAGATGGAGGGGATGCAGTGGATGTGGTTTACCTGGATTTCAGCAAGGCCTTTGACAAAGTGCCCCATGATATCCTGGTTGAGAAACTGAGGAGTTTTGG